AAAAAATCTAAAACCACAACCTAAAATAATTAATAATCTCTTTGGAGAAATTATGACACGATAGCAAAATGAGAGAAACGTTTCACACAGCGGTTTGTTTCAGTGGTGAATAAGCCACAAAAATAAAACACCAAACAGTACTTCCCCAGAGATCCAAAACGAAAAGCGGTTACATTTGTCTTGAAAACCAAAAGAATGTCGATTAAAATATAAATAGTGGGGGATGTAGGAGAGGAGTGTCCATATTGACGAGATAAAGGTCAGAAAGTCGGTATGGGCAAGGCGAAGGCCACATAATCGACTAAAACGAGCTCTCTAGTCGATATAGATGAACTTAATGCTGAGATAGTGAATATAAGCGAACTGAAGGGCCAGAGAGTCTCTATAGACGAGCTACTGGTCCTGACAGCCTCTATAGATCAGATGGTGGCCATAGATGGGTGGTGCGCCATAAAGTCTATCTATGAAAGAGCTGGTTGGCCAGAGAGTCGCCATAGACGAGCTGAAGGGCCAGAGAGTCGCTATAGACGAGCTGAAGAGCCAGAGAGTCTCTATAGACGAGCTGCTGGAGCAGAGAGTCTCTATAGGCGAGCTGCTAGGCCAGAGAGTCTCTATAGGCGAGCTGCTAGGCCAGAGAGTCTCTATAGGCGAGCTGGTGCGTCAGAGAGTCTCTATAGACGAGCTGGTGGGCCAGAGAGGCTCTATAGACGAGCTGGTGGGCCAGAGAGTCTCCATAGACGAGCTGGTGGCCCAGATAGTCTCCATAGACAAAACGGGGGGCCAAAGAGTCTCCATAGACGATCTGGTAGCTAGAGAATCTCTATAGACGAACTGGTGGGCCAGAGAGTCTTTATAGACGAGCTGAAGATTGAAAGAGTCTCAATGCTCGAGCTGGTGGCCAGGAGGTCTTTGTAGAGGGCCTTTTGGACAGTTTTTTTTTTTTTTTTTTTTTTTTTTTTTGGCGGGGTGGGGGGGTTTTTTAGACGAACATAAGGTCCAGAGAAGCTCGATATGTCCAGGAGGTTTCCATAGAAGAGCTGAAGATCAGAAACTCTCTGTAGATGAACTGAAAATCAGATAGTCTCTGTAGACGAACTGAAAGGCAAAGTGTATCTGTAGACGAGCTAAAGGTCAGAGAGTCTATGGAAAAGAGCGACACTTTAGACGAGCTAAGAGTCTCTTCAGATGCTGGGCGATGAGACTTCATTAGCAAGTCGAACCTCTGAGGTGAAGATCAAAGCCTCTATAAGTAAATGTCAAGGAGTAAATTTAGCCGAGTTGAATGTCAGAGTGTCCAAATCATCAAGCTAAGCTTAGATTTTCTGCAGAAATTTTCTAGAGCTCAGGGAGTTTGTAAAAATTATTTTAATATCAGGTGTTAATATTTAAGGCAAGGGACTCTATTTTGGCCATATAGACAAGCTTAAAGCCCGTTCTGAAGACTTTGACCAACATTTGTCACATTTGCACTTTTTTATTAATTTAATTTTGAAATTTCTATAAAAATTTCCCCTTCAAAATTTAATTCTGAAAACAATTTTGCTTGCCAATATGAATTTTAGCACAGTGCCGAGAATGATTCTCCACAATCAAACTGGGTATAATTCGTTTTAATATTTACTTTTATTGTCAAGCAAAATATTGACACAAAATTATGCCATACAAAGAAGCGGATCTCAGAAAAAAGTGGAAATTCGTAGATTCATTCAACGAATTGCAACAATGATGATGATGATGGTGATGCCAAATAAACAACCCATCTATCCGACCGACAACAACAACCCAAAAAATAAATCCCCGAAAAAAAATACAATGACGAAGGACGGATTTGATTTTATGCGGAACTCTCAAGTGGTTTCATTCAATGTGTAATGTTGACACAAGGAATTACGTTTGAGTGTGGATGGACGGATGGATGGCTGGTGAGATGGGTTTGAGCGCTCGGTAGCAATAGCATCATCAGCGGCGCATTTACTTTCAAACAAAGGTCCACATTCAAATCCCATTGTCATTGACATTTACGGATTTGTCACTCCCTCCCTCTCCCTCCCTCACCCTCACACTCACTCTCTTTCTCCATCTCTTGGACTTTAAATGATATCTGTTTGTTTAGATTTCATATTGTACTGCTGTTTGGTTGGTTGGTTGCTGAGGTTAGTTCTGTTTTGATTTTGAATTATTCGTTAGTATTTCCCTACAATACTTCGTAATGTTTGTTTTGAAAATATTCATAAATTTATGCAAAATGAAAATATTGACAATAATAAATTATGAAGAAAAGTATAATTTAATTGTTAAAGATCAGATGACATACTGACGGCCTTACTGTTCAGTGGCTGATTGCTGTGGCGCCCAACGTACCAAACAATTGGAGAGCAATGTTTTGTACCATCAATAATAACCAAAACCTATTTCGAGTTTATTCACACATTCCCCCTATGTTCTCAATGAACACCCCATCCTCCCCTCTTCCCCTCTCTTCCTCTCTTTCCCTCAAGTAAATTATGCTCCTCATTTTTGCAATTTGTATTCATTTGTATTTTACTGCCACTATTTGCATAGCCCATTAACATAGCTTGGTGTTGGCCATGTGCCATTGATAATTCGCAAGCGATCTCGTGAGGTGACGTTATCAAAATGTTGATTGGAATTAAGAATCACAAGGCGAGCATTGGCAGCGTTTGTTAAACCAATATTGCGTAGTTGTTAATTTTTTGGGCAAATAAAGGTTTTTTTTTTGGGGTTACCAAGCGTCGATCCGAAGATGGAAGTTTTACGTCAAGAAGAGTTTTTGCAATTGCGGCGGATGTAAATGAGCAAAACTTATGCGTAAGAGTTCTTAAATTAATCTGATGTTTAGCGACACCTTAAAGACCACAATCATAATCCCTTCAGTACTTCAATAGCGACCCATTTGACCTTTAGCTAGACTATAGAGACTCTCTGGCCCACCAGCTCGTCTATAGAGACTCTCAGACCCTTCAGCTCATCTATAGCGACTCTCTAACCCTTCAGCTCAACTATAGCGACTCTCTGGCCCACCAGCTCGTCTATAGAGACTCTCTGGCCCACCAGCTCGTCTATAGAGACTCTCTGGCCCACCAGCTCGTCTATAGAGACTCTCTGGCCCACCAGCTCGTCTATAGAGACGCTCTGGCCCACCAGCTCGTCTATAGAGACGCTCTGGCCCACCAGCTCGTCTATAGAGACGCTCTGGCCCACCAGCTCGTCTATAGAGACGCTCTGGCCCACCAGCTCGTCTATAGAGACGCTCTGGTCCACCAGCTCGTCTATAGAGACGCTCTGGCCCACTAGCTCGTCTATAGAGACGCTCTGGCCCACCAGCTCGTGTATAGAGACGCTCTGGCCCACCAGCTCGTCTATAGCGACTCTCTGGCTCTTCAGATCGTCTATAGTGACTCTCTGACCCTTCAGCTCATCTATAGCGAATCTCTGGCCAACCAGCTCGTCTATAGAGACTCTCTGGCCAACCAGCTCGTCTATAGAGACTCTCTGGCCAACCAGCTCGTCTATAGAGACTCTCTGGCCAACCAGCCCGTCTATAGAGACTCTCTGGCCAACCAGCTCGTCTACAGAGACTCTCTGGCCAACCAGCTCGTCTATAGAGACTCTCTGGCCAACCAGCTCGTCTATAGAGACTCTCTGGCCAACCAGCTCGTCTATAGAGACTCTCTGGCCAACCAGCTCGTCTATAGAGACTCTCTGGCCAACCAGCTCGTCTATAGAGACTCTCTGGCCAACCAGCTCGTCTATAGAGACTCTCTGGCCAACCAGCTCGTCTATAGAGACTCTCTGGCCAACCAGCTCGTCTATAGAGACTCTCTGGCCAACCAGCTCGTCTATAGAGACTCTCTGGCCAACCAGCTCGTCTATAGAGACTCTCTGGCCAACCAGCTCGTCTATAGAGACTCTCTGGCCAACCAGCTCGTCTATAGAGACTCTCTGGCCAACCAGCTCGTCTATAGAGACTCTCTGGCCCTCCAGCTCGTCTATGGAGACTCTCTGGCCCTCCACCTCGTCTATGGAGACTCTCTGGCCCACCAGCTTGTCTATGAAGACTCTCTGGCCCTCCACCTCGTCTATGGAGACTCTCTGGCCCACCAGCTTGTCTATGAAGACTCACTGGCCCTCCAGCTCGTCTGTGGAGACTCTCTGGCACCCCAGCTCGTCCATGGCGACTCTCTGGTCCTCCAGCTTGTCTATGGAGACTCTCTGTCCCTTCAGCTCGTCTATAGAGACTCTTTGGCCCTTCAGGTCGTATATAGCCCTTCAGTTCATCTAAAGAGACTCTCTGGCTCTACACCTTTTCTATGGAGACCCTCTGGCCCTCCAGCTCGTCTATGGAGACTCTCTGGCCCTCCAGCTCGTCTATAGAGACTCTCTGGCTAACCAGCTCGTCTATAGAGACTCTCTGGCCAACCAGCTCGTCTATAGAGACTCTCTGGCCAACCAGCTCGTCTATAGAGACTCTCTGGCCAACCAGCTCGTCTATAGAGACTCTCTGGCCAACCAGCTCGACTATAGAGACTCTCTGGCCCACCAGCTCGTATATAGAGACTCTCTGGCCAACCAGCTTGTCTATGAAGACTCTCTGGCCCTCCAGCTCGTCTATGGAGACTCTCTGGCCCTCCACCTCGTCTATGGAGACTCTCTGGCACCCCAGCTCGTCCATGGAGACTCTATGTCCCTTCAGCTCGTCTATAGAGACTCTTTGGCCCTTCAGGTCGTATATAGCCCTTCAGTTCATCTAAAGAGACTCTCTGGCTCTACAGCTTTTCTATGGAGACCCTCTGCCCCTCCAACTCGTCTATGGAGACTCTCTGGTCCTCCAGCTCGTCTTTAGGTACTTTCTGGCCCTGCTATTGAGACTTTCACACCCTCAGCTTGTCTGTGGACGCTCCCTGACCTTCTGCTCGTCTATCCATAAGCACTACTTAACTGAAATCCGTATAAGCAAAATTTTACCAATTTTTTTATATTTTTATTCATCCTTAAAAAACTTTTCCATAGCCGTTTCATTGACATAGCCGAAATGCCATTTCTGTTCCGGCTTTGTGAGATCACAAAAATTGACAAAAACTCCACCCGTTGCCGGCTCCATCTCCATGCAGCGTTGCTGATATGACTCTTTACCCTGGACCAGCATTTGGGTATTGCGATCATAATACCACCATTGATTGCCACCACGATTGTGACAGGGCCACAGCCAAATGGGGGCATTTGAAGTCCAGCTTTGCACTTCCAAACAATTGCCATGATGCTGCAGATCTCGGCGAAAACCCAAATGCCATTTTTGGGCATCGTAGGGATATTTTAGGTCCGGCGAACAGGACTTTAGGACATTTTTAAGTTCTTGACGTGGTTCCACGTGCTGCATATCTAAACAAAGTTCGGGTCGGGCCAAACTTTGTATGGCACCACTGGCAAAATCTGGCGGCTTTACCGGCGGATAGGCCTTGAGCAAATCGGGGGCAATGTTTTGCATGAACCACTTGAAGGGTTTGCATTGCAGTTGGCTTCTCAGTTGTTTTTGTTCCCTGAGATCTCCCGGCTCAATTTGATTGAGTTTGGGTATGTGTTCGTACAGATAGTCCTTGTACTCATCCATCCACACCTCGGCCACACGTTTGTAGTTCTGGAAATTTTGAAATATTAGTCGTGGAATTTTTACCTCGTTTTCCACATTACCTTCGATATGAAATCATCTTTCCGCTTGGTATAGCTCACAGCAAACTCTGGTGAGCGATACAAATGACCCACCCTGGAGCAGGGCACCTCCAAAAGCCGACCACCACAAAGCCATATCTTAAAACTCAATTCATATTGTTCGGCACCCCAAATTTCCAAACCCCTGTCATAGCCACCCAACTGCCAAAAATATTCCCTGCCAATGGCAAAGAGACCACCATTCATTATGGGATTGTTATGGGGTTCTGGATCCATGGCCTCTTCCTCTTTCAGCAAAGGCAATTGTACATAATTGAACTGCCAATTGAAGCCACCCCGGGAGGACATGCCACCTTGGTACTCTAACGTATCATATTTGATAATGTCAATAATGGGCGTGGTCGTGGTATTGGGATTTTCCACAATTGGCGCCAATAGGGGAGGCAACCAATTCTCATTCACCTCAACATGGGCATCAAGAAATACCAAAACATCGCATCTAGCTTGACGGGCTCCAACCAAACGGGCTCGTATTAAGCCTTCTCGTTGTTGTAAGTTAATCTGCTGCAACTTTTGGGGGAAGTTCTCAGCTAAGTATTTTTCTAAATCCTTTTGCTCGTCTTTATTTAAGGATTCGCTAAAATCATTGACAAGTATAATTTCCAGGAATAACTCGTCGGGAGTTCGATCCCATATGCTATATAGGGTCCGGAGCAATACTGAGGGTTCTTCATTGTAGTAGACAATGATAATACTGCAGCTGGGCAGTTGAGCAGGGTACAGTTTCGCTTTGCATCTGAAAGAAAAAGGAGGAGTAAAATGCACAAACCATCAAAAATTAAAAGGCTGGAGCTCAACCAAAAGCTTGTGGTCATTTTGGCCTCCTAAAAAGGCACTTCATCTCTTGAGACTCTCTGACCTTCAGCTCGTCCTTAGAGACTTTCTGGCCTTCAGCTCGGCTATAGAGACTCTGTGACCCTCGTCTCATTTCTAGAGACTCTCTGACCTTTATCTCGTCTCTGTAGATTATATGACCTTCAGCTCGGTTATAGAGACTCCCTGACCTTTGTCTCATTTCTAGAGACTATCTGACCTTTAGATCGTCTCTGGAGACTCCCATTTCTAGAGACTATCTGACCTTTAGATCGTCTCTGGAGACTCTCTGACTTTCAGCTCGTCTCTGGAGACTCTCTGGCCATCAGCTCGTCTCAAAAGACTCTCTGATCCTTCAGCTCGTCTATAAAAACTCTCTGACCTTCATCTCGGCTATAGAGTTTCTCTGACCATCAACTCGTCTCTAGAGTCTCTCCCTTCAGCTCGTTTTAGAGACTATCTGAACATAAGCTCGTCTTCGGAGACTCTTCGACAAACACTGCGTGCTGTCCAGCCCATTCATAGAAACTGTCTGACCTTCTGTCTGTAGAGATTCTCAGGCTCCTCAATCGTCGATGGACATTCTCTGGGTCTGCATTTTTCTTTTCTTTTGAGATCTCTCGGTTCTTCAGCTCCCATTCTGGTCAAGTAAAACTTCCTAAAGCTTTAGGTAATCCAAAGAGACTTCCGAATTGTTATCCCCCATACGATTACTAAATGAGCCTCTGCAAATCTGAAATGAATCCCTAAGCCTTCAGAGATTCTCTTACTCTTCAACTTTTCTATGGAGACTCTCTACAACTTTAGTTCGTCCCGAGGGACTCCCTACCACTAATGCTACTTTCAATGGATTCTCCGTCCTTCCAGCTCCTCCATGGAAAACCTCACCACCTCTTTTTTGAAAGCTTTCTATTTTTCAGCTCTCCTTCAGTTAATGAAGTAAGACTGCCTGAAGCTACAGCTGCTCTAGAAAGACTTTCGAGTTTTAATCTCCCACACGATTACTAAGTGGGCTTCGGAAACTCTAGAAGGACTCCCCAAGTCTTCAGAGGTCTCTGACTTTTTAACTCTCCTGTGGAGACCCTCTGCGACTTCATTTCCTTCGACGGACTCCCTGCCACTTAAGCTTCCCTCAAGGGTTTCCCCGCCCTTCCAGTTTCTGTATAGAAACTCCTGGTTCTGTATCTCTTGTGCAGATACCTCCCGGTCTTTCAACTCCCGCTCCCATCTGACCATCCCAGTGGGAATCTAGAGAGTTTGCCTGACGCATCAACTCGCGTAAAAAGAACCGAACTGAACCGATATGTCCTCTAGAGAGATTTTCTGCGTTTTTGGTCCCACAAACTACCTGGGCATCCAGTTACTTTAGACGGATTCCACAGGCCTTCAGCTTGCCTACCGCCCGTCCCGCCCGTACCTGGCCATTTAAACTTGTCTAAAAGATCCGATGGAAACAATCAAGCCCTCCGGCTCATCTAAAAAGACTGTCTGGCATTTATCTCCTTTCCAGAGGCATATAGAGGCCCAGGTGCATCAGTAGGTATATAGCCACCGTTCACTTCCTCTCGAAAGAGGCTCTGTCCATGTAGACCTTTTTGAGTGGGTCTCTGGTCTTCAGCTCGTCAGTTAGTATGGGAATATTCGAAGTCTTTCGGATCGTCCACAGAAATTCTTGGTCCTCAGCTCTTTTAATATAATCTCTTATTAACCCGCGTTTAAGTTCCATCTATCTTGAACGATTCTCTAAGTAATTTTGTCTCTACTTCTCTTTAGCGACTTTATTCTATTTGGTCTCCCGTTTGATTAGCTCCAACGTTTCTTTTGTGGAATCCAATCACATAATGTAGATCATAGTTTTTAGAAGCACCCCCCTTATGCGAACTTCTCTATTCTACTGGCAATTTAGCGGGTTATTCGTTTAATTTATTCGGCACACGTTTTGATTGAGTAAACAAAGCTAGCTTAGCTATTGGCACCTCTTTCCATGTTTCGCACTCTATGCCCGACCTCAAAGTGGCCTAAATACCTCTCCTTTCCTCTCCCCATCGAAAAATTGCTTTAGTCACACTCTCACTTACTTTTTATGTCTGGTATCGGGAACCGTCCGCCGCAATGGTAAACTCTCAGAGAGTCGAACATTGAAACCGGTTAACTTTATGCCATTGCCGTTTTGGTTGTTGCTGTTGCTGTAACGTTGGCCAATATTAAACGGTGGTGGTTGTGTCAATTGTTGATCGCCGTTTGCGTTTGCCAAGTCGCTTGGTCGCCATGTATGCCAATCACGTAATTGCCGATTTGTGCTAGAGACGGCTACGTGTTGCCGTGTCTTGAGATTCTGAGGAATTGAATGTTGCCGCTGTGAGCGTTTGAAAAATGTTAACAGCGCAACATTTTCCGCACCATAGCCGATTAGACCCGCACTGTAGACGATAATTAGCAGAATGGTTAGAACGCTCAAAGAGAATAGCAGCAGCAGCAGATACGACGTCACTTTCCGACTGAACTGATAACGTAACAGAGAGTAAGAGTGTTTGGAGCGGATCATGGCGTGCGACTGATTTTTGGTTTGGTGTGGAGAATAGTAAACAAAACAAGATCACAACGCTTGTGAATGGGAAGGTTGGGGAGCAGGTAAAAGCGACAGCATTGCAGAGGTGGAGATTAAAGCAAAAAGCTTTACAAAATGCATTTTATGAAAGCCCCTGATAAAGCTTTTTAAAAATGAGGAAATAGACGATCCTTAAAAAAGCTCTTAGCAGTTAACAAAGAGACGTTAATATTTGAAAATATTTTTGATTTTTTTTAAATATTGTAATTTATTTTAAATATTATTTTCTGAAAATATGAAAACCAAAAAATTTGAGCTGAAATGGATTTTTTTTAAAAATTCTTAAAACTTTTCGCCATCAATTACCAAAGTATGCCCTTATTTCCTTCCTCGTATTTCCTTATAACGGTATCGAAGCTTCCAATTTCATCCCAACTTTCAGGAGGATCATTTCGTTTTACAATTTCCCAAAAATATCTTCTTCAGTCAAACCATGCTTGGCCAAGTACTCTCTCGACCAATCATCGATTTTCTTTTGCAGCGCGGGAGACAACTCATCCTTGAAGGAGCCCACAATGCCACGGCGCATAAATCTAATAAAGATTAACAAAAAACCGTTAGCAATTTTTATTATTTCATATTCAAACTAAGTCCACTCACTGGAACTCCTCCTTGGCGCTTGGCACCTGGCCCTTTATTGTGTCGGTCAGATTTGTTTGATTATTCCCTGGAAATTCAAAAAAATATGTTTCAAAAAATCCTATAGCCTCCCCTCTTTCACTCTCCCCCATCCTTACCTTTCATATTTTCAAATGACAAATGATTCAAAATATTCTCCATTTCCTCCTTGGTCAGTTGTGGTCGTTCGAGGAATTTACACAACTTTTCAATAACCTTACCCAAATCCCCTTTCATCTCTTCGTAGGTGGTAAAGAAAATATTCGGCTCATTGCGCATCTTCCAAAAGTCCACAATGTGGGTCCAAAAACAGGTATACATTGTTTCATTGTTCATAAAATCCTCGGCAAAATCGTCCAAATTATCACCACTCCAGGAGCCAAGATTTTTCAAGAAGTGATATGAGGAGACAACCACATCCTTGCAATTGCGGGCCACATAGATTATCTGTAAAGGAAAAAATTGAAAAAATACAATCAAATCAACATAACTTTTTCCGGACCAGCGGAGCGTAAGCCAAAAGTAATCTTGATGAGGCAAAAGTAATCAGGGAGTCTCTATAGACGAGCTGAAGACTCAGGGAGTCTATACAGACGAGCTGAAGGCTCAGGGAGTCTCTATAGACGAGCTGAAGGCTCAAAAAGTCTCTATAGACGAGCTGAAGGCTCAGGGAATCTCTATAGATGAGCTTAAGGCTCAGGCAGTCTCTATGGACGAGCTGAAGGCTCAGGGAGTCTCTATAGGCGAACTGAGGGTTCTTTAGGGAGTCTCTATAGACGAGCTGAAGGCTCCTCAGGGAGTCTCTATAGACGAGCTGAAGGCTCCTCAGGGAGTCTCTATAGACGAGCTGAAGGCTCCTCAGGGAGTCTCTATAGAGGAGCTGAAGGCTCCTCAGGGAGTCTCTATAGACGAGCTGAAGGCTCCTCAGGGAGTCTCTATAGACGAGCTGAAGGCTCCTCAGGCTGTCTCTATATACGAGCTGAAGGCTTCTCAGGCTGTCTCTATAGACGAGCTGAAGGCTCCTCAGGCTGTCTCTATAGACGAGCTGAAGGCTCAGGGAGTCTCTATAGACGAGCTGAAGGCTCAAAAAGTCTCTATAGACGAGCTGAAGGATCAGGGAGTCTCTATAGATGAGCTGAAGGCTCAGGGAGTCTCTATAGACGAGCTGAAGGATCAGGGAGTCTCTATAGATGAGCTGAAGGCTCAGGGAGTCTCTATAGATGAGCTGAAGGCTCAGGAAGTCTCTATAGATGAGCTGAAGGCTTAGGTAGTCTCTATAGACGAGCTGAAGGCTCAGGGAGTCTCTATAGACGAACTGAAGGCCCAGGGAGTCTCTATAGATGAGCTGAAGGCTCAGGGAGTCTCTATAGACGAGCTGAAGGCTCAAAAAGTCTCTATAGACAAGCTGAAGTCACATGGAGTCTCTATAGACGAGCTGAAGGCTCAGGGAGTCTCTATAGACGAGCAGAAGGCTCAGGGAGTCTCTATAGACGAGCTGAAGGCTCAGGGAGTCTCTATAGACGAGCTGAAGGCTCAGGGAGTCTCTATAGACGGGTTGAAGGCTCAGGGAGTCTCTATAGACGAGCTGAAGGCTCAGGGAGTCTCTATAGACGAGCTGAAGGCTCAGGGAGTCTCTATAGACGAGCTGAAGGCTCAGGGAGTCTCTATAGACGAGCTGAAGGCTCAGGGAGTCTCTATAGACGAGCTGAAGGCTCAGGAAGTCTCTATAGACGAGCTGAAGGCTCAGGGAGTCTCTATAGACGAGCTGAAGGCTCAGGGAGTCTCTATGGACGAGCTGAAGGCTCAGGGAGTCTCTATTGACGAGGTGAAGGCTCATGGAGTCTCTATAGACGAGCTGAAGGCTCAGGGAGTCTCTATAGACGAGCTGAAGGCTCAAAAAGTCTCTATAGACGAGCTGAAGGCTCAGGGAGTCTCTATAGACGAGCTGAAGGCTCAGGGAGTCTCTATAGACGAGCTGAAGGCTCAGGGAGTCTCTATAGACGAGCTGAAGGCTCAGGGAGTCTCTATAGACCAGCTGAAGGCTCAGTGTGTCTCTATAGACGAGCTGAAGGCTCAGTGTGTCTCTATAGACGAGCTGAAGGCTCAGGGAGTCGCTATAGACGAGCTGAAGGCTCAGGGAGTCGCTATAGACGAGCTGAAGTCTCAGGGAGTCTCTACAGACGAGCTGAAGTCTCAGGGATTCTCTATAGAAGACCTGAAGGTCATGAAGTCTCTAAAGATAATCTATACGAGTCTCTATGGACCGCCTAAAGATCAGGGAGTCCCGGTGGACCACTTGAATGTCAGAGAGTCTTTATAAGAAACTTGAATGTGCGGTAGTTTCTGTAGACGACCTAAAGGTCAGGAAGGCTCCATAGACGACCTGAAGGTCAGGGAGTCTCTAAAGACGATTTGGAGATCAGGGTGTCTATATAAACGTCCTGAAGGTCAGGGGGTCTCTATTTTTGAAGATCACAAATTTTCGATAAACCACTTGAAAGTCAGGGAGTGACTATAGACGTATTGTAGAGCCTGTGACTCTATAGGAGAGCAGGCGATAAAATGGTATCCAAGACGTGCTCATTCTCCATGAGCGAGCTGAGGGGCGAAAAATTTTCCATAGATGAGCTGAAAGACCAAAGAGTATTCACAGACGATCTGTAGAATCAGAAAGCTTTCATAGATGACTTTGGTCGTCAGAGAGTCTCCACAGATTTTCTAAGGGGCCAAAGTGTCCCTTAAGTTTAGCCGAAGTGCAAGAGAGCCCCAGATGCGAGCTGGATTGCGGGGAAGTCTTCATAGACGTGCTGGAGGTCAGGGTGTCTCCTGAAGACCATGGGGTCTACAGGTCAAGTAGTCTTTATAGACGAGCCTTCATTGACAAAATGAAAGGCTAGCGTGTTTCCATTGACGAAGTGAAGAGCCAAGACTGCAAGTTGAAAAGCAACGGAGCTTCTAGAGACGAACAAACAGTCCAAGGAGTGTCCATAAATGGGCTAACGGACCAGGGAATCTCCATAGACGAGCTGCGGGTCCAATGAGTCTATGGAGACGAGCTGTCGGGCGAGAGAGTTTCTGCAGAGAAGGCGGCCGCTCATCTATAGAGACTCCCTTCTAATCGTCTATAAGACTCCCTTCGACTCATCTGTACAGACTCCTTTCTACTCGCATATAGAGCTTCCCTTCTGGCTACCTTCGACGTCTGTAGAGACTCCATTCTCCTGGCATATTAAGAGTCTTGTCAGATCCATTCGTTTCCCATCCATTCTCTCTCACTTTTTAGGCAGACGTCCTCCGGCTCTACTATACAGATACCCTCCTGACATTCAGGTCGTCAATTCGTACATATAGAGTCCTTCATGTGCCTTCGGCTTCTGCCCATTCACTCTCACATTTATCACATCTATATTTAATGAACTTACCTTCGTCTTCTTCTTCCAGATATCGAATGGCAATAAATTGGCTGGCAGATGCGTTTTCAAAACTCTTGGACTCGGTAAGTTTTTACATAGCTCCACAATATCTGGTAGATCGGGTTGTAGACCTCTGTGACTGAAAGATAACATTTTCTTAGCCGCTCCGCAAATAAAAAAAAAACATTCATTTGGCTTACTCTACAAATGGACTCCTCTCCCAAATGTGTAATTTTTTGGACTTTTCAAAATCCAAATTATTCATGAGCAACCAGGCGGTTTCCTGCATCCAGGTGGTGCCACATTTAATGAAGGTCACAATAAAGACATCATCATCGCGCACTTCCATATTGAGTATTTGGGGTAGGACTTCATCGAAACCAATGGTCAGGGTACACCAGGTTTCGGACCAGTTTTTCTTCAGCGGTATATCTGAACCTTCGGTGGCATATTGTTTCGATGCCATGTAGGCTCGTGGTGTGTCAATGGCACGTGACTGCAGCATTTTTTTTTTCGAATTGAATTTCAAAATTATGTTGTTCTCCCAACCAATTCTAAACTTAAACTAACCCACCCAAAAATAAGAACGCTACTCAAAATGGAATAGTACCAAGAGTGACCATATCAATGTTTTTGTTTAGTTTTATATTCTTTTTTTTTTTCAAGATAAGCAGTTGTTTTTTATGCTTGTCATTCTCGTTATCAGTTTCCAAAATTAATATTTTGAGTTTATGATTTGTTTGCCTGCTACAGCTGTGATTAGGAATGATAAACGTGACCGAAATATACAATCTAACCATTCTTATGTTTCTATGCAGAAAATGATAAATGAAAACAATTCTTCTCAGAGCTTTCCAAAAATGTCCTCCTCCTTGAGGTCATGCTGGGCCAAGAAGTTGCGAGACCAGTTGTCAATTTTCCTTTGGAGCTTTGGCGTCAGTTCGTCCTTGAAGGAACCCACAATGCCACGGCGCATAAATCTGGAAAAATCGAAATTTTCAAAAGAAATATTTCCAAATCCTAAAATCAAACTCACTGGAAATCATTGCTAATGGTAGGAACCTGCTCCCTCATCAAGGCCGTAATATTGGTTTGGTCATTACCTGCAAAAAAAAAAAAACACAGATCAAAATTCCTCCATGAAAAAACCTTTAGTTCCTAGAACGGACCCTTCATATTTTCAAACGACAAATGATTCAACATGTTTTCCATTTCCGCCGCCGTCAACTGTGGCCTTTGCAAAAATCCACACAACTTTTGCAAGACTCCCGGCAAATCTCTTTTCATCTCCTCGTAGGTTGTGAAAAACAGAAACGATTCATTACGCATTTTCCAAAAGTCCACAATATGCGACCAGAAACAGGTGTACATAATTTCATTGTTTATAAAATCCTCTGCGAATTCTTCCAAATTTGCACCTTTCCAGGAGCCAAGGTTCTTGGTGAAATGATAGGCAGAGACAATGACATCCTTGCAGTTACGGGCCACATAGATTATCTGAAAGAGAATTTGAAATTGAAGAAGGAGCATATCTTGGTATTTTACGAGAAGAGACATTCTGGGCTTCTATGGGAGATGATCTTAATCAGGTCTTCTATGAGAAAAGACATATGAAAGAAGGCCTTCTCATATAAGACTAGAAGAAAGACATGTCATAGAAGACGACAACAGGGTTTTCTCTGACAGAAGAGCAGCAGACGACCTTCTGGTCTTCTATAAGAGAAGATCTTCTTCTGGTCTTCTATGGGAGAAGACCCTCTTCTGGACTTCTTTGGGAGAAAACCTTCTTCTGGTCTTCTATGAATAGAAAGTTTGGTCTTCCTGAAGGGTCTCTTCTCTATTGGGAATTGCTAGTCCCTGACCCCTCTATTCCTCTACGGAGACTCGCTGGCAACTCGGCTCCTCTACAGAGACTTACTGGCCACTCGGCTCCTCTATGGAGACTCGCCGACCCCTCAGCTCTTCTACGGAGAGTCGCTGACCCTTCAGCTCATCTATGAAGACTCGCTAAACCTTCAGCTCATCTATGAAGACTCGCTGACCCTTCAGCTCACCTATTTAGTCACGCTGGTCCTCATCTCTTTTACATAGACTCAGCTCCTCTATGGAGACTCGCTCACCCCTCAGCTCCTCAATGGAGACCCGCTGACCTCTCAGCTCCTCTATGGAGATTCGCTGGCCCCACAGCCCCTCAACTTCTCTACGGAGACTCGCTGGACCTTTAACTCTTCTACACAGACTTGCGGGCCCCTCAACTCTTTTATGGAGACTCGTTAACCCCTAAGCTCCATCACGACGACCCGCTGACCCCCTAAGCTCCTCTACAGAGACTCTCTGGCACCTCAGCTCTTCTACGGAGGCTCCCTGACCCCTCATCTCCTCTACAGAGACTCACGGGCCCCTGAGCTATTCAATAAATACTTCCCAACTCCTCAACTCTGCGACAGCGATTTCTAGCCCTTCAAATCACTTAAAGATATTCCAAGGAACTTTTACTTCGGCTTGCCCCTGGACACTCTATGGACCTGTAACTCACCCTAATATCCTTCACTTAACTCACTTAACCTCACTTAACCTTTAGGTCGTCTGTGGAGACTCGGTGATTCTTTGGCTTATCTATGGAATGTAGCTGACCCTTCCGGGATCCTGCTCACCTTCATAGATAGGGTGGCATGTTAGCTTGTCTATGAAGACTCTCTGTCCCTTCCGTTCACCCAATGAGAATGTTGAGGCCCTATGGACACTCTTTAACCATCCAGCTTATGTATGAAAACTAGATGTTCCTTCATCTTTCCTATTAAGACTTTATGGCTCTCTACTGTCATCTGTGTACATCTCCTAGCCCTCCTGACCACATACGAAGACTTCCTGGCCCTTTTACACCTCTCCATAGACTTCATGGTATTTTAGCTCATCTATAGAGGTATCCTGGTCCTTTAGCTCGTCGCTTGAGATTCTAAGCCTCCCTTTCGTCTTTCATAACTTTGTGGTTCTTATGAAATTTCGGTGGCCCATAGGTCGTCTATTACGACCTCTTGGGCCTTTTCGCCCATAGGGACTTCTGGTCATTCAGTTTTTTTTTTTTTTTTTTTTTTTTCAATAGACTCCATGGCTCTTTAGCTCGCTTATGAAGACTCTCTTGACCCTCAGCTCACTTATGAATACTCCTCCTCCTAAAAAGACCAACTCTCCCATAGAAACTCCCTGTATCTTCAGTTTTGAAGTTTCCTCACGGTCCTTGTACTTCCTTGTAAAGTAAGTGTCTCTCTCAACTCGCCAAAAAATCCCCATGTTCTTTATTTGCTTTTTTCTTTCAATATTACCTTTACATTCTTTTTCCATATCTCCAGTGGCAATAAATTGGCCGGCATATGGGTCTTAATGACCCGTGGACTGGGTGCAGTCTTGCAAAATTCAATGGCATTGGGGGCACCCACATTGAAACCGTGATTGCTAAACCGAAAAATACTTAATTTTTTAATCCTTTTTTTATGAAAACAAGTTCTTACTCCAAAAATGGGCTCCGCTCCCACACATGGACCTGTTTACAACGCTCAAAATCCAAATTATTCATTAGCAACCAGGTGGCTTCCTGCATCCAGGTGGTGCCACATTTTATGAAGGTCACAACGAATATATCATCCGAACGTATTTCCATGTTCAGTATTTCGGGTAGGACATTATCGAACTCTGCCGATAGGGTACACCAGGTTTCGGACCAATTTTTCGTAAGAGGTATATCTCGGCCCTCTGTGGCATATTGTTTGGTAGAGAATAGCGCCCGAGGCGCCGATATTGAACGAGATTTTAACATTGCCCGCTGATGGTTTATTTTGAGTGGTTATCTTCGCGAAATCTTAAATAGAACTGAAGAATTTCAATAAATTCAAATTATTATTTGTCATGGCCGTTCGTTGTTGTTGTTTGCTTTTGTTTATTAATCTCATTGAGAGTGAAGAGCCATAAAGTGAGAATTGTCAGAACAGTTCTCCGTGGATATTGAATGAGATATTATCGTTCCGAATATTCTAAATATTTTTTGTGCACCTCTTCGCGAAATCTTATATAGAACTGAAGTGAAAATTTGCATTTTATTGTTGTTGTTTTTCTTGATTAATCTCAATGAGAGGGGAGAGCCATGAAGTGAGAATTGCCAAAAGAATTATTTTGTATGGGTGTTTGCTAGACTCTCACAGATACATTTGTTTGCGGGATAGCGTTTTATAATATTTATTTGTGACCCAAAACCAATTTAGATAAAAAAATGTATAATCTAGCAACAGAACGACTAAATATTTAAGATATTTTATGGATATGTACTTTGTTTATACCCTTCAGTTCGTTGATGACTTATGGTAAAATTTTATGGGGAATATTTTTGCCTTCAACACCACCCTTCTGTAAAATACTTCATTTTAGGCCATACAATCCAACTCTCAAAAGGTACAACTTAACACCCAAAATCTGCTTGATTTTGATGTTGAGGTTCCGAACTGAGGTGTATTTCAACATCCATTGTAAAATTACATGATGAAAATTTTTCTACATTATTCCGACATATATAAGCAGGAAATAAAGAACACTTTTCCAAAAAAAATAGGACCCAAAAGTCAAACCCCAAAAGGTTGAAAACTCTACAGAAAAAATGTCTTTAAAAAATCCTCTGATGGGCTTGATAGATAGGGAATCGCCATAGACGAAACCAAGGGACTTAGAGCTTTTGTAGAAGAACCTAAGATCCAAGTAGTCGCTGTGGACAAACTAAAGGACCTAGTAAACTTTATGGACGGAGCAAAGGGCCATTTAGGCGCAATAGGAAATCTGTAAAGAACCAGGGAAGCTATAGACGAGCTAGAGGTATGGATACCTTTGTAAGCTACCTGAAGGTCTAGGAGGAAATTATAGGTAAGCTGAGGAAGGATGAGGTCTTTATAGTCCATATCCAAGATGCTTAAAATGTTTCCGAAAAATATGTTCTTAAATTTCCTCTGCAATACGGGAGAGCTTATTAGATAGGGAGTCGCCGTGGACGAGACCAAGGGCCTTGGAACTTTTATAGAAGAGTCGGAGATTCAAGTAGTCTCTATAAACAAACTTAAGGGCTTAGCAGACTTTATTGACAGAGCAAAAGGCCATGGAGACGTTATTGTAAGTCTAAAGGACCAGGGAAGCTATAGACGAGCTAGAGGTATGCATGTCTTTGTAAGCTAACTGAAGGTTTAGGAAGAAATCATAGTTAAGGTGAGGGGGATGGGGTCTTTTAAATCCATATCCAAGATGCTTAAAATGTTTCCAAAAAATGTCCTTAGAATTTCTCTGTAATACTGAGGAGGTTAAAAGATATGAAGTCGCCGTAGACGAGACCAAGGGCCTTGAAGCTTTTATAGAAGACCCGGAGATTCAAGTAGTATCCATAGAAGAACTAAAGGACCTAGCAGACTTTATAGGCAGAGCAAAAGGCCACGGAGAAGCTATAGTAAATCTAAAGGATCCGCAAATCTATAGAAGAATGAATGATTTGTAGGAAAGCTAAGGGCTCTGGGGTCGTCATATACCAGATAAACGGCAAAGAATCTCGATAGATAAACTGAAAGGCGGGCGAGTCTTCATATGTAGACAAGGGGCCATGAAAACCCTTTAGAAAAACTAAAGGGTCAGGGAATTTTATAGGCGAGCTAAAGGTTAAGGAAGACTTTGTGGCTCTTTTAGAAAAGTCGGATATTCAAGTAGTCTCTATAGACGAACTAAAGGGCCTTGCAGACTTTATAGACAGAGCAAAGAGCCATGGAGGCGCTATAGGAAATCTAAATGGACGAGCTAAAGGGACGGATATATTTATAGGTGTGGTGAAACTCAAGGTATGATTTGCAAAAAAAACTAAGGGGCTGGGGACTTCATATTCAGACAAACGGCTAAGAATCTCGATAGATAAACTGAAAGGTGGACGAGTCTCCATATGTAGACAAGGAGCCATGAAAACGCTCTAGAAAAACTAAAGGGTCAGGGAATCTTATAGGCGAGCTAAAGGTCAAGGAAGACTTTATGGCTCTTTTAGAAGAGCAGAAGATTCAAGTAGTCTCCATAGACAAACTGAAGGGCCTAGCAGACTTTATAGACAGGGCAAAATGACATGGAGGCGCTATAGGAAATCTAAATGACCAGGAAATTTATGGACGAGCTGAAGGGACGTATATCTTTGTAGGCTAGCTGAAGAAGGCTTAATAGGTAAGCTGGTGTCGTCATATAAAGACATTTAAATTGAAAAGCCTTGGTTTTGTACAAAAAAAAATTAACAAATTAATCTAAAAAAAAATTAAATCTACTTAAATTTAAATAAAAACAACAAGAATTTATAATTTTCCAAAAATATCCTCCTCCGTCAGACCATGCTTGGCCAAAAAGTCCCGGGACCAGTTATCGATTTTCGCTTGCAATTCCGGTGTCAATTCGTCTTTGAAAGAGCCAACAATACCACGGCGCATAAATCTGGAAGAATAAAAATGAAAGAGATTAGAAATAAGACAGTCAGAGGGAGAGGGGAGGACAAGGGACTTCTTTAAGAACAATAAAGGAGAAGGAGACAGTGAGTTCATTGGAAGACTCCTTTCAAGATTAATCAAAGTCTAAGGAGTCTTTTGTAGAAGAACTGAAAAGCAGTACACCTCTGAAAGTGAGCTTCGCCCCACAGCTTCTCTACAAAGAATACTTTGCTCATACTTACTGAAAATCATCATTGGCCGTTGTTATGTGCTGTTTCAACACTGTCGTGATATTTGCCTTGTCATTATCTGAAAATATCATTCTCGTTAGGCATAAACCATTATTGCCATAAAGTCTCAAAATTTATTTACCTTTCATTTTATTGAACGACAAATGATCCAATGTCTTCTGCAACTCCTCCTCGCTCAGCTGAGGTCGACCCAAGAAATCACATAACCTCTGTACGACTCCACCCAAATTCCGTTTCATTTCTTCGTAGGTAACGAAAAAGATATGCTCCTCGTTGCGCATTTTCCAAAAGTCCACAATGTGTGACCAATAGTTGCAGTACAAAATTTCATCGTTGAGGAAATCGGTGACAAAATCTTCGATATTATCACCGGCCCACAGGCGTAGGTTTTTAGCAAAATGATAGGAGGACACAACGACATCTTTGCAGTTGCGAGCAACGTAGATGACCTGGAAGAGGCGAGGAGGGGAGAGGGGAGGGAGAATAAAGAAAAAATAATTAATAAAATTGTATTTTATCTGACATTGCGAAAAAGTAAAAATGTCCTTTAAAATGTATTTCAAAGAAGTAAAAATATTCTTCAAAAGTAAAAATATCCTTAAACAGATTTCCAAAAATATCCTTAAAAGTATTCCAATAATATCCTTAAAAGTATTCCAAAAATATCCATTAAAAGTATTGTAAAATATAAACAAAAATCCACGTCCTTATGTCCTTGAAGAAAAAATGTAAGAAATCCACGCCCCTTGGTCTTTAACAAAAAATATTTTAAAAATCCACGTCCTTAGGTCCTTAAAAAATATTTTAAAAATCCACGTCCTTAGGTCCTTAAAAAATATTTTAAAAATCCACGTCCTTAGGTCCTTAAAAAAATATTTTAAAAATCCACGTTCTTAGGACCTTAAAATATTAAAAAAAAAATCCAGGTCCTTAGGACCTTAAAAATATTAAAAAAATCCAGGTCCTTGAAAATATATAAAAATTCCACGTCCTTAATTCTTAAAAAAATATTTAATATTTTAAAGATGTACGTCCATAGGTTCTTGACAAAAATATTTAAAAGTCCAAGCTCTTAGGTCCTTGACAAAAAAATTTCAAAGATCTACGTCCTTAGGTCCTTGAAAAAATTATTTAAAAAATCCACGTCCTTAAAAAATCCATGTCCATAGATCCTTGACGAAAAAATTTAAAAAATCCATGTCCTTAGGTCCTTGACAAAAAATATTTAAGAAATCCATGTCCATAGTTCCTTGACGAAAAGTGTTTAAGACAAGAATCCATATCCTTAGATCCTTGACCAAAAAAAAATTAAAAATCCATGTCCTTAGATCCTTTACAAAAATATTTTAAAGATCTACGTCGATAGTTCCTTGACAAAAATATTTAAAAAATCAAAGACCTGAGGTCCATCACAAAAATATTTCAAAAATCCGAATCTTTAGGTCCTTGACAAAAATATTTAAGAAATCCATGTCCTTAGACCCTTGACGAAAATATTTTAAAGATCTACGTCTATAGATCTTTGACAAAAAATTTAAAAAAATCACATCCTTCGGTCCTGGACAAAAATATTTAAAAAATCAAAAACCTGAGGTCCATGACAAAAATATTTCAAAAATCCGTGTCTTTAGGTCCTTGACAAAAATATTTAAAAATCCACGTCCTTAGGTCTTAACAAAAATATTTTAAAAATCCGTGTCTTTAGGTCCTTGACAAAAATATTTAAAAATCCACGTCCTTAGGTCTTAACAAAAATATTTTAAAAACCTACGTCCTTAGGTTCTTAAACAAAAAATATTTTAAAAATCCACGTCCTTAGGTCCTTGACAAAAATATTTAGAAATCCGAGTCCTAAGGTCCTTGGCAAAAATATTTTAAAGATCCAAGTCCAAGTCCTAAGTATTTAAAAACTGATGTCTTTAGGTCCCTGACAAAAATATTTAAAAAATCCAAGACCTATAAAATCCGAGTCCTTTAGTCCTTTACATAAATATTTAAAAAACCACATCCTTAGAATCTTTACAAAAACATTAAAAAAAACCAAAAAGAAAAATCTACGCCCTTAGATTCTTGACAAAAATATTTAAATAATCCACGTCCTTGGGTCCTTGACAAAAATATTTTTTGAAAATCCACATTAAAAGGCCAGATTGTTCTGGAAACAAATATCCTTTGCAAATAATAAAAAAATGTTTTAAAACCAGATTGTTCTTAAATATGTGTTTGAAAAATCTAGCTTTAAAATTCAGAAGATCCTTAGAAAATGTCTTTTAAAAATCCGCCTTTAAGTTTTAGATGTTTCATTGAAACAATGTCCTTTAAAAGTGCAGGTTTAAAGGTCAAATGTTCCTTCAAAAAAATGGCCCTTGGACAGATATTCATGAAAATCCAACTCCAAAGGATTGTAGATCCTTGAAGATATATTTTTTAAAAATCTATGTTTAAAGGACTGCTAATCCTTGTCAAGATATTCGTAAAAAATCTAGTTTAAAGAACTCTTAATCCTTGAAGAAAATTTCTCTTCAAAAAAACAGTGCTGTTGGTCCTTAAAAAACAATTTTTAATTGATTATGGATTCTCAACTTTTTTCGAAAATCCGAATTTAAAGATTTTTTGGGTCCTTGAAAAGATTGAGAATCCTTGAAAATTATTCCAGAAATAAATCCTTCTAAATTCTAAAGGAAAATAAGTTGTGTGTGCTTAAAAAATTATTCTTTAGAAATCCAAATTTAAAAGATATTTGTTCTTTCTAAGGACCTTTCAAAAAAATCCTTAAAAATCCAAGTCCTTGATCCCTAAGAAGACATATATTTTTGCCCACCTTGAACTCCTTTCTTACCTTGGTCTTTTGTTGCCAAATCTGCCTGGGCACCAAATTCGCTGGCATGTGGGTCTTCAGTAAACGGGGACTGGTCAGAGTTTTACTGTATTCCACGACATTGGGAGCAGTGGTGACAATGCCATGGAAACTGCAAGACAACATTTGACAATTAACACCCTCACACACCCTCAAACTTATTTCCGTTTTCAACTTACTCCAAAAACGGTGAACGCTGGGTCTGGGGCAATTCTTTGCTCTTGGCAAAATCTAAATTATTCAACAACAACCAGGCGGTCTCTTGCATCCAGGTGGTGCCACACTTGATAAATGTCACAATAAAGACATCATCCGGCCGCACTTCATAGTTTAAAACCTCCCCGAGAACGGTGTCGAAGGGTTGTGGCAAGGTACACCAGGTTTCGGACCAATCTTTTTGCAATGGAATATTTGGATCGGCGGCAGCATATTGTTTCATTTCAAAGGCCCGTCTGGGATTTGGAGCACCTTCCGTTTTGCAGCGGGATTTGAACATGATGCAAATTTAATTTTTTATTTTAAAAATCACTCTTAATTTCTAATGACCGTTTCGCTTAGCGGCTCTCCGAATACTGATAGAGTTTTCTTCCATTGGCAATGAATTTAAAATCAAACCTCCAACCGGCTTATCTTGTCCCTTGAAAATAGAAACAATAACAAAACTTAAAAAACAACAACAACTTATCGCCGCATGGGTGAGGGGCTCATCAGCTATTATCATTGTTATGCCCGCCCGCCCATGTAATCCCCGTATTTGTTGCCATTGACAAAATTTACCCATAATCATGATAATGGCCTAAGTCCATAGATGATTGTAAATGTATCTACACATGTTTGTAGTGGATGTGTAATCATATCAAACACAACAACTTCTGATAAGACCGCCACGGGTAGAAGTGATAAGAAATTTTGCCTAGTCCAACAACAACAAAAATGTGAGTTAAACGTGATTCGTGAACTATTTTTTGCAGAGATTTACCGATTGTTTTGTATTTTTTTATTTCGGGGTAAACAAAATGACATGGCAGAAAATGATGGTTTGATTGGTTGTTTGACTGGAAAATAACCTAGTTTTGATTAAAATAAAAATGGCAACAGCGATGATGTATGTGCGCACGGTTATGGGGATCTTGAGAGTTCTGACTATCTCTGATGGCAGGAAAATCAAATGCACTTGCCTTTATAGATATAGACTAGAAATTGTAATCAATATCATCGCACTTTTCGGAAATTAAAAGACAATTGATCTAAAGATTAAAACCAATAGTCAATGTCCTTTAAAAATTCATTTTTAAAAGTCAAATGGTCCTTCCAAAATATTCTGTAAAATTTCAATTTAAAGGTCGGGCCGTCCTTGAAAAAAATATTCTTAAAAATATTTAAAAAATCTAGATCTTTAGGACCTTTACAAAAATATTTAATATTTTAAAGATGTACGTCCATAGGTCCTTGACAAAAAAATATTAAAGATCTACGTCCTTAGGTCCTTGAAAAATGTATTTAAAAAATCCACGTCCTTAGATCCTTGAGAAAAATATTTAAAAAATCCATGTATATAGATCCTTAACGAAAAAATTTAAAAAAATCATGTCCTTAGGTCCTTGACAAAAATATTTTAAAGAACTACGTCCATAGGTCCTTGACAAAAAATATTTAAGAAATCCATGTCCTTAGATCCTCAACGAAAATATTTTTAAGATCTACGTCCATAGGTCTTTGACAAAATTTTTAAAAAAATCCAAGTCCTTAGGTCCTTGACAAAATTTAAAAAATCAAAGTCCTAAGGTTCATGACAAAAATATTTCAAATAAATAAAAATGATAAAAATATTTAAAAAATCCGAGTCTTTAGGTCCTTGACAAAAATACTTAAAAAATCCGAGTCTTTAGGTCCTTGACAAAAATACTTAAAAAACACGTCCTTAGGACCTTAACAAAAAATATTTTAAAAATCCACGTCCTTAGGCCCTTGACAAAAATATTTAAAAAAATCATGTCCTTAGGTCCTTAACAAAACTATTTTAAAGATCCACAACAAAAATATTTTAAAGATCCAAGGCCTAAGGTCCATGAAAAAAAATTTTTCTAAATCCGAGTCCTAAGTCCTTGGCAAAAATATTTTTAAAATCCACGTCCTTGGCAAAAATATTTGTAAAATCTACGTCCTTGGCAAAAATATTTTTATCTACGTTAAATCTACGTTTCAAATTCATAAAGTCCTTGGAAATTGTCCTTCAAAAATCCGACTTTAAGTTTCAGATGTTTCATTGAATGAAACACCTTTAAAAATGGTAATATGGTCCTTCAAAAATATTCTTTAAAATTTTAACTTAAAAGGTCGGGCTGTCCTTGAAAAAAAATATTCTTAAAAATCCGCATTTAAAAGACTAACTTTTCGAAAAATAAAACTTCGTAAAAAATCGCAATACATCCTTGAGAAAAATATTCCTTAAAAAATTCATATTTTAAGGTCCTTAAGAGAAGGATATGTAAAGAATATGTTTTTCCTTGCGGAAAATGTTCTAAAAAAATTCACGGTTATCAATCCTTAATGAAAATACTTCATAAAATCAACGTTTGAAGGACTATCGATCCTTTATAGAAATATTCCTGAAATTCACATTTAAAAGGAGTATTGACCCCGAAAAGATTATCCGTAAATAAGCCACTTTAATAGTCTGTGGATCCTTGCAAAAAAAATATTCTTAAAATATCCACATTTCAAGGACTTTTTTATTCTCCAAATCAAAATAATCTTCAAAGACAAGGTTTTAAGGACTAGTGATCCTTAAAAAAAATATATTTTCAAATTATCACTTTTTATGGCATTTGACCAGATTTGTTTGAAAATAAACATTTTTACATTTGAGAATGTGTCTGTATTAATTCAAAGTTCCTTAAAATTGCCCATTTAAAGTCCAACTCTTTTTTTTTGAAAAAAATATTCTTTAAAAATCCCTCATTAAATTTTTTTTTCAAAAACCACATTTGAAAAAATTTTCCTCCGAAAAAAAAAAATTCTTTAAAAATCCGTCATGAAACCTCGGACTGTCCAGGCAAAAAAAAATATTCTTGAAAATCCACATTTAAAGGATTTGTGCATCCTTCGAAGAAATGTTTTTAAACATCCAGGTCTCAAGAACTGTGTATCCTTGAAAGAAATATTCTCAAAAATTCGCATTTAAAATCCTGATGGTACTTGGAAAAATATGCATTAAAAATCCACGTTTAAAGCTTCGATAGTCCTCAAATAATATCCTTTTGAAATCCTAGAATTCCCTTAAAAATATATTTCGAATTTAAAAATGTTGTCTTGGTGTTTCCATGGTATTGTTCCCTGTGTCCCCAATCTCGTAGAATACGAAAAACTTTATCCAGTCTCCGTTTATTGAAGTAGCTGAATTTTTCAATTGGATATGCAAGGTTTTTTGTAGTTTCCGAAATTTTTATATATATTCGGAGTTAGTCTCCCTTTGCTAATACACCGCCATATTAACTTATTTATGTGAGAGCTTTAAGTCTGTTCAACCGGCGATTATTTTTGCAACAAACAAAGGCCTTAATTTCACATATTCATGCATGTTTGCGAGCTCAATTAAAAACACATTTAACTTATATTTGACTTAAATTTTTAGGAGCGTAGCTATACACACGTTCGAAAGACAATTTCTTAAATATCATTCAGAAATATTTAAAGAAACCTGTGACCGAAAAGAAAATAAAAGAAAAAACTCCTTTGCTTTGCTGAGGATACTATGCTTAATTTCTGTTCCGATTCATGTGCATTACCAATATGATCCTCTGCATTTAAAAACAAGTAAAAAAACTGTAAGTTCGGCCGAGCCGAACTTTGAATACCCTCCACCATTTGGTACAAATTTGGCAAGTTTCAAAAAAAACTCTGTTAAAATCTTAAAAATACCGAAAGTAGCCGTATATTAGGGTCTATACGACGACGTGGACCTGTATAGGCCACTTTTGTCATGGCTATTAAAATATTCAAATGCGAAACTTGAAAAAAATCTGTTTATAATGTAGCTAAAATCATCCAATTACCGTATATAGGGAAGTACCATGGGGGTTATAAAACGTAGACCTGCACAGACCATTTTCTGTCATAGGCTGTAGTACCCATTGAGATCTTTCAATACCCAATATGAGACAATTCCGAAGAATAATGTTGCTAAAACCATCAAAATATCGAATATCGGAAGGTACCGTTATATGGGGGGATATACGAAGACATTTTTCTGTCATAGACTGAAATATCTATTAAGAACTTCAAATACCAGATTTGAAACAATTCCGATGAATAATGTCGGTAAAACCATCAAAATACCCAATATCGGAAGGTACCGTTATATGGGGGCTATACGAAGGCGAGGATCCGCACAGACAATTTTCTGTCATAGGCTGTAGTATCCATTGCGAAGTTCAAATACCAAATTTGAAACAATTCGGTTGAATAATATCGCTTAAATCACCAAAATGCCGAAAATAGAGAGGTACCATTATATGGGGGCTATACCAAGATGTGGACCTACATGGCCCATTTTCAATACCAAAAGTTCTGCAGGCATACTTTACATTTGAGTAGAATTTTATCAATTTACTACATAACGTTCGGAAGCTAGAGTGAATTCCACGGACAGATAAACGGACGGACTTTGCTAAATCGACATAGAATTTTATGCTGATCAAGTCTCAAAAATTTCAAAAAAAAATCTTTTATCAAGGAGGAGAGTACCCAATAGATATGTCCATATTGGAGCCTCATAATGTTTGTATCAGACACAAGACAAATGCGAAAATTGGCAATATTGGCCCCACTCCTCGCCCCCAAAAGGTAAAAATTTCGATAAAGTGTAAATTCAATGTTCAATTGTCTTCACACTTCAGACTTCCCAACAGCCCTCCGAAAAACTCGTTCGAATTCGAGTAAAAAGTAAAACTCAGCCATAACCCGTTTTCTACCCTTTTTCTCTTCTTTGATTTTTTCCCCTATCACTACTCCCCCTCCACCTAGTCCCACAAAAATCAAAACCGTTTTGAGGTCTTGGCGTTAAGGTAAGATTAAGATTTTTTATATATTCTGGAATCAATATTAGAATTTTAAAATAAATAATTTCGATTATTTTGAATTTTTTACGATGCTGATTAAATGGAGTTTTAAAACTTCTTTTTTTTTTTTTTTTTTTTTTTTTTTTTTTTTTTTTTGAAGAAGCCCCAAATTTCCCTTTTGGTGACTGGCTAAGGGTTAACAATTTCTGTGAAAATGATCCATGCATTGTTATCATCTATATTGCCGAAGATACTACAAGGATTCCAAGGGATCCAACCCGAAATGCAAGGACTCCAAATGAATGAATTTTAATCCGAAAATATCAAACTTTTTTCGATTTAATTCAAATAAACTATTTTATTTATTTTTTTTTTTTCAAGCTCAAAGAAAATATATGATTGATTTTGAATTTTTTTCTGAAACAGAGTTCATAGAACTTTTAAAAATTTCTCAGTAGTCTATCGTAAGATGGTAGTTGATGAAATAACCTTTTACATTTCAAAGCTACGAGGAATATTAGAAAAATCACTGACTTATCAATCCAACATCGTATTTCATTAATTCTAAAACTACTATCTCTTTTTTAACTCTACTATCTCCCATTCTCTCTCTCTCTCTTCCAAAATTCTTTACTATTTTCCCTCCATATTCAAAATTTCCTTTCCCTCGAATATCAGATCAGTCTCTTGCCGAAAAATCAACAAAAATCTCGAAATCCCTTATCAAAATACTTAAAGAATTCAAGATATTTTGAGTAGCTGAGAAAGAGAGAGGGGTAGAGTGCTTGAGAGATAAGAACCGGTTATTTACTCAGTGGCCCTATTAATTAATTTTCAAATCTTTACACTTTAGTTAGAAATTAGAAACCCAGCCAGCCAGGAAGACTTTCTTTCGCTCCCGCCAGAAATCGTAGAGTAGTGGAAAAAACTTTTCATTTCAAAATGTTGAAATCTCGTCCATTAACAACAGCCACCCACAAAACTCGTTCTCCTCTACCCATGAAACAGTATGCCTGCGAGGGTAGAAATATTCCTTTGAACAAAAATTGGTTGGATACATGGTGTACCCTGCCAGAGGCCTGTGACGGAGTGCTTCCCCAGCTGCTCAACTATGAGGTACGCAGCGACGATGTGTTTGTGGTGACATTCATGAAATGTGGCACCACCTGGATGCAGGAGACCGCCTGGTTGCTGATGAATAATTTGGACTATGAAAAAAGTAAGCGGGAGGCGGTACTGGACAGGAGTCCGTTTTTGGAGTAGGTCTTCCAAACAGAAAAAAAATAAATAAAGGAAATGTTGAAATTATTTTTATTTTCTATTACAGAGATCATGGAATTGTGAGCGGAGCCCGCGATGCCATGGCTTATAGCCACACATTGGCCAGCCCACGTTTACTGAAGTCCCACATGCCAGCGAATCTATTGCCCATGAAAGTATGGGAAAACAAGCAAAAGGTAGGCCACAAGTTTTACAGATATAAATCGAAACACTTTCAATTAGAAAGGCTAGATTACAGAAATATAAAAAAGTAAAAAAAAACAGATACCTTAGGCCGGGCCGAACTTTTTACACCCTTCCCAATTGGGAAAAACTTGTACTTTTTCAAAAAAAAAAAAAAAACGGCTATTAGACGAGTGGCTTAGAAATGACAGCAGTCTGAAGTTAGTTGTAGTTATTTCATCTCACCCTTTTGCTTTGGCTGCGTAGTTCATTTTTGCCTATACACCATTTTTGTCTACTAGCACCCTAAAAGTATGCAACAGATTTTATAACTTCTTTCCAATATATTTCGTTTTTAATGAAATTTCGAAATTTTTAAAACAACTTTCCATTTCCCTCCTTCCAGCTAATCTATGTGGCCCGAAATTGCAAAGATGTCATTGTCTCCTCATATCATTTCCTCAAGAAACTCGGTCTTTGGACCGGTGACAACATCGAAGATTATATTGAAGATTTTATCCACGATGAACTGAACTACACCAATTATTGGAATCACATTGTGGACTTTTGGAGAATGCGCAATGAGCCGCACATCTTCTTTGTGACCTATGAAGAAATGAAACGCGACTTGGCAGGGGTCATACGAAGGCTGTGCGATTTCTTGGAGAGGCCGCAATTGACGGCCGAAGAAATGGCAAAGACTGTGGAACATTTGTCCTTTGATAAAATGAAAAGTGGGTGGAAAGACTTAACAAATCAAAAAAATAGAAAAAAATATTTAAATATTTCTATTTGTGATTTACAGATTATGAAAAAATGACCCAAGGTTTAAAGAGCCAATTGCCAAAAAGCACCACGGATTTCCAGTAAGATTTTCAATATTTTTCGATTTTCGGAATTTATTCCCACCCAAAAATATTTATTTTTTTTAATAATTTGTAACTGCCTTCATTTGCAGATTTATGCGTCGCGGCATTGTAGGTTCCTTTAAGGATGAGTTAACCCCGGAATTACGTGCGAAAATCGATGCTTGGTCTCAGCACTTTTTGTCCCAGCATGGGCTAACGGAGGAGGACATTTTTGGAAAACTATAAAATTAAGTATATAAATATGTTGAAAATAAAATAAGGATATAAAATTAAAATATTTTTTTTCAATTAAATTCAGGTCAAAATGAGAAAATGTGTAAGTAGGCAATACCGATCTTTTAAATAAAAGTGGATCTTTTTTTAGTAACGTTCACAAATCGAAATATGGAGTCGTTCAAACTAATGTGGGAGTCGAATGTCTCCAAATATAGCTAGAGTTTGCTCTAAGAGTGAAAATGAGTGGAAAATTTATTTTTTTTTAATTTGTGTGTGCAAAATTCTCCTTCAAAGCATTATTTTAGATGACTGACCCCAAAGACAAAACTAGTTTTCATCAAATTTTAAAGGACGAAAAAGACTCTTTTGTCGAATCGTTTTTGAGTCCAATATGTGGTTTCCATTAATTTTACACTTCCATTTTCTTTTATTTTCCATTTCTTTTTTATTTCCATCTATTTTTTTTTTTTTTAATTTATCATCTGAGAATATATTTCCGTCTCGGTGAGACCATGCTGAGCCAATATCTGTCTAGACCACTCATCTATTTTGGCTTGCAGTTCTGGTGTCAGTTCATCTTTGAAAGAGCCCACAATTCCACGACGCATGAATCTAGAAAATATTTGGAAATTAATTGCAATATCATGGAGTTCTGCCAAAAAAAAAAACTCACTCGAAATTTTCATTGACACTGGGCAGTTTGAGCTTTAAAATTCCGGTGGTATTAACAAGGGGATTTTCTGAAAAAAAATTGAGGAATTTAAAAAAATTACTTCTATGATTATATATTTTTTGCCAAAATCGACATAATGATGAACTACTACTCCGTATAAAAGACCTATGGTAGCTAAAATTGAAAATCTATAAAGTTTATTTATAGAGGAGGCCTACAGAATCTGTTGATGTTAGATATACTAAAGAACTTCAGAAGATATTTTACATATGGGCTTCTTATAAAAACCCATTTAGATACCTCATAGAGTGCACTACCTCATTTCCTCACTAAGCTACACTCATCGGCTCGTCCCTCTTCCTCCAATTGTTACAGTATGGCCGATTGTGGATGACATCAAACTTATACAAAATCAATTCCCGACTATCTATTCTATAGCAGATGACGTCGGGCGTCATATACTCTATAACAGTTGACGTAATCTACTCTATTGTAGATGTCTTCGGGAACCATCAACTCTATTGTAGATGACTTCGGGAGCCATCTACTTTATTGTAGATGACTTTGGGAGCCATCTAATCTATAGTAAATGACTTCGGGCGCAATATACTCTATCGCAGATGACGCCGGACGCCCTCTACTCTATAGCAGGTGACTTTGGGCATTAAATGATGGCTACGGGTGCCATTTACTCTACAGTGGAGAACGTTGAACACCGTCTACTCTTTAGTAATTGGCGAAAATATTTTAAACGATTTTGGCTCGGTCGGCAATCATAAAATCTAACAGAAGATTCATTTCAGTTTGGCGACTATGTCTTGCAGTCACTTGATGTTATTCTTATGATTTCAAAAGATCAACTGACTCCATCACAGATTTTGTTTTGCTCTATCGCCCCCTAGATTATCCAAATTCTTTTTTTTGTGCATTGTAGCTCTCTCTCTTCATCCATTGTTTATTTGCCTTCTCATCACTCTATCACTTTTCTATGATGTTTAAATAATTTTCCTTTTGTTTCTCTTCATTTGTTGTTATTCTTATGATTTCAAAAGTTCAACTGGCTCCATCACGGATTTTGCTTTGCTCATTCGCCACTTATACAACTTCATTGTTTCTTTTGCATATTACCTCTCTCCATCCATTGATCTGTCTGTCCTCTCATTCTCTTAATTTCTGTTGATGATGTTATAGCAATGTTTCTCGGGTTTTCCTCACATGTTGTTATTCTTATGATTTCAAAAGCTCAACTGACTCCATAGCAGATTTTGCTCTATCGCCTCCTACTTCATCCCAATTATTTGTTTATTTTTCATTGTAGCTCTCTATTCTCTCAATTTCTGTTGATGATGTATTAGTAACGTTTCTCAAAACTAAGTTGACTTATTGAAACGAGATCTAGGCTATGGCTCAGCCATCAACTATTTTGAACCCTGTTGACTCGGACAGCAATCATAAAATGTACAAGTAGTTAATTTTAACTTGACGAGTAGGCACTTGATGTCATTCTTATGAGTTCAAAAGCTCAACTGACTCCATCGCAGATTTTGCTTTGCATCTTCGTCTCGTAGATAACTTCTTTGTTTCTTTTGCATTTTATCTCTCTCCATCCATTGTTGATCTGTCTTCTCATTGTCTTAATTTCTGTTGATGAGGTTAAAGCAATGTTTCTCTAGTTTTCCTCACATGTTCTTATTCTTATGATTTCAAAAGCTCAACTGACTCCATCGCGGATTTTGCTCTATTGCCTCTTAGATCGTCCAAACAATTTTTTGTTTTTCATTGTAGATCTATCTCTCTCTGTCTCCATCCATAGTTGATTTGTCTTGACATTCTATCACTCACTCTAAGCTTACATATTCGAACGAAATCTAGACTATGCCTCAGCGATCCACGATTTTGAACCCTGTTGGCTTGGTCAGCAATTATAAAATGTCTCAGAAGATTAGTTTATATTTGGCGACTAGTTCGCGCAGAGACTTGATGTTATTCTTATGATTTCAAAAGCTCAACTGACTTGTCACAGATTTTGCTTTGCGCAATCGCCTATTAGATTATCCAAATTCATTGTTTGCTTTGCATTGTATCTATCACTCCCTCCATTGTCTTGTCATCATTCTATAACTTTTTATTTAAGATGTTTATAAAATGTTTCTCGAGACAAAATCGACTTATTAGAACGAGGTCTAGTCTGTGTCTCAGCGATCCACTATCTTGAACGATGTTCAACTGACTCCATTATAGATTTTGCTTTGCTTCATCGCCTCCTAGGTTATCCAAATTCTTTTTTCTCTTTAATTGTATCTCTCACCATCCATTGTTGATTTGTCTTCACAATCTCTCATTATCGGATATTAATGTTTGTGTGGTGTTTCTCATGAACTACTCTCCACTTACTTGCAACTAATTAAAATGAGCCGGAGAGTCTGTTTGCAAAAAAAAAACAAAACGGTTTAGTTACTCTCTCTCCCTCTCTCGGTTTTTAATTTGAAGGCCAGAGGTAAGACTTCTTTTCTTCAAAATTCAAGATTAAGTTGAAGGTTGTTGCATTTTATGTTTTGTAAATTGTAGTTGTTTGCTTGAATGACCCAAAGTCTTCTATTTACAAATGTCCACTAGAAAGACTTCTGCTAATATTTGAGATCTTCTGGATCCACCAAAAGTTCGCCCTTTAAACTTTTACAAGAGACTCCTACAAGGTCTTATATTCCCAAAAAATATCTTAGAAAACTGTTACATATACAGAAGCTCTTCCATGCTAGAATCTTCCACTACATTTCCCTCCTGTCTTACCCTTCATTTTGTTGAACGATAAATGTTCCAATAATTTCTGCATCTGGTCATCTTTCAGTTTGGGTTTCTCCAAAAATTCACTCAACCTTTCGATGACTCCGCGCAAATCTCGTTTCATTTCTTCATAGGTTACAAAGAAGATATTCGATTCGTTACGCATTTTCCAGAAATTTAAAACATGCTGCCAATAGCCGCCGTAAAGAACGTCATTATTTATGAAGTCGTCTACAAAATTCTCCAAAGTCGTGTCGTCGATGAGACCCGTGTCCTTCTGGAAGTGATATGAGGAAACGATGACATCTTTGCAGTTGCGGGCCACATAGATTATCTGGGGAGAGAGAGGGTGAAAGTAGAAACTGAAAATTTCTCTTAAGAGAATATACATATATGAATTTCCTCCTTACCTTCGCCTTCTTTTTCCATATCTGTTGTGGCAATAGATTCGACTGCAAATGGGACTTAATTAACCTTGGACTTGGCATGGCATTACACCGCTCAATTTCATTGCCAAAATAGGGTCTAATGCCTTGGGCCCTGTAACAAAAATATGAAATTTTTATTTATTAATTCACATCACCTAAATATCCTTCTTTGGCCATACTCCAAAAACGGACTCCTCTGGCTAAGATGTGTACTTCCACTTTGCTCATAATCCAGGTCATTCAGCAACATCCAGGCCATTTCCTGCATCCATGTGCTGCCAGATTTCATGAAAGTCACCAAAAAGACATCCTCGGACCTTACCTCAAACTGTAAGACATTTTCAAGCACTGCATCGAAAATTGGATATAGGGAACACCAGTTTTCGAGCCAATTCTCCGCAAGCGGTATGTCTTTGCCATTGGCTGCAAATTCCATCAATTCAGGGCTTTTGGCCTTCTTGGGTCTTGAAATAAACATTTTTGTTTGTAGGAAAGCGAAAAGAGGTTGATGTTTTCTTTTTGAAATGCACTTTGCGAATGACCGAAAACTTGAAGTGTTTTTCTTTGATTCGGAACTTCAAGAATAGCCAACAATTGGCAAAAAAAAACAAAGAAAAAATAAATTTATAGATAAAAATGATAATTGATACCGAATGGCCAATCGATATGATAACGCGCCTGCTAAACCCCAATTATCAGTGGGACCAGTATCAGCAATGCCTTTCGAACCTATTTGGGGGGTGGGAATGTGGAATATTTGGACCACTGGCTGCAAACTCAAGAAGGTTGCTATTCTTGGGTCTTGCAATAAACATGAAAATCAAAAATACCCCCAACTGGCTTGGACTTCGAAACACCCTCCCAAAGAATTCAAATTTAAATCCTTGTTGTAATCTAACCTCGTTATAGACCCGAAAAAAACACAAAAAGCCTACAGGTTCAGTGACCTGCATTCCATTTTCCTCTTCTTTTTTTCTATGCATGCGACTTTATTTCTCCAGCAAATAGCAAAAGTTTGGCAGATTTTTCCACAATCAAATATGCGAATGGTCTATCGAAATAGAATCGCACCGGCGAGGCCTTGTTTATCAGCGAAGCCACAGCCAACGCAGCCGCCTCCGTGCCATCCTCATTGACAATGATGCGACTCGATTGGAAAATACTCGATACGAAAATGTCCTTGGCGATTTTCGTTAGATTGGCATAGTGCGGCTGGAAGACATCGATCATGCCCATCTAAGGGGAGGGCAGAAACATTAGTTCCAACATCGAAAACTTCATATCTAACCACTTACATTTTCCAAAATATATCTCAGCGAGAAATGTGATTGCGTTGTGAATCGGGGCAGGAATACCTCCACCTCATTGGGTACACCATCATCGGCTGCGGCCCGTTCCTCTTCTGCCAATTGTTGCAGTATGGCCGATATGCCAACGTTGCGCAGGTTGTTCATAACGGTATTTAATTTTGTACCTGGAGAAGGGAGAAAAAATCCGTTTTAATATCTTTTCAACCTTGGGCGCCATCTACTCAATAGCGGATGACGTTGGGCGTTACCAAAGCTAGAGTAGCTGTCTACGAACGACATCCACTTTAGAGTAGCAGTCTACGGACGACATCTACTCTAGAGTAGATGTTTACGGAAGACATCTACTCAACAGTAGATGTCTACGGAAGTCATCTACTCCACAGTAGATGCCTACGCAAGACATCTACTCCACAGTAGATTCTACGGAAGACATCTACTCTACCGTAGATGTCTACGGACGACATCTACTCTACCGTAGATGTCTACGGACGACATCTACTCTACCGTAGATGTCTACGGAAGACATCTACTCCCCAGCAGATGTCTATGAAGGACATCTACTCCACAGTAGATGTCTACGGACGACATCTACTCCACGGTAGATGCCTACGGACGACATCTACTCTACCGTAGATGTCTACGGACAACATCTTCGCTACCGTGGGTGTCTATGGACGACATCTACTCTATCGTGGATGTCTACGGACGACATCTACTCTACCGTAGATGTCTACGGACGACATCTACTCTACCGTAGATGTCTACGGAAGACATCTACTCCACACTAGATGTCTACGGAAGACATCCACCCCTCAGTAGCTGCCTACGGACGACATCTACTCTACCGTAGATGTCTACGGACGACATCTACTCTACCGTAGATGTCTACGGACGGCATCTACTCTACAGTACATGACTTTTGGCGCCATTTACTCAATTGTAGATGTCGTCGGAGATGTATGCAGGATCCACCTACATTTAAGAAAATGACGTTGGGCGCCACCTTTTTATCATCGACATCCCACTCCCTCAACTCACCTTTCCTTGGCAAAATTGCCAACATGGACATCAAATTAGCCTCTCCATAGGGCAATTCCAGGACAAAACTATCAATGCCAGGCACAAAGACATAAGTAAAACTGCCCATTTGTGACATCATTTGTACATTTCCCGTGATCTGGCCATCCTCATCATGGAAGGGTACCGCATGGGTGTTGATGGTTTCAAAGGGGAACTATTTCAATCGAAAATCAAAATTAATTAATAAAAAATTGTATCTTGAGGTCATCCTTCCTCTACCTTCCATTTTCCCTTAAAATATAAAGTGGAGATCATTAAAAGTTGCACATCGATTAGATCCTGTGGCAGTATGGTGTGTGGCAACAGACCCTTGGTGGTCTTGTCAATTTCGTCGTTAATCCGAACAAAGGTGTTGTTGACATCGGCAAAGTTGACGGGAGTTAAAACCGACTGGTATTCCCGCTCAATTATATCCTCAAAGTCTCGCTGCACCGGTTTGTGGATATCCGTAAAAATGGCCTGGTATGAGACGACTTCTACAAAATTTGTTGCGACACTAATGGGAGAGGTAAAATAAAGGCAGAGGTAAAAAACTATGTTCTTAGGGAAATTATTCTACCAAACTCACTTCAAACGCTGCTTAATCTGACGATATGCCAATCTCAAGCCATACGGATTTTGATTGTTAATCCTCAGGGTATTTTGCAACTCCTTGAAAGTATTCCCCTCGGCGCCCTCGGTCAGGAGAACCATCAGGGACCACACCGATAAGGGGGAGACCATATAACTGCGACGTGGAACCGGCTTGTGTTCATCGGAGATTTTCGCCAGAAACTCCAGGCCAAATTCTTCAGCCCCCTTGGCAATAGTTTTCAAATATTCATCCTCCTGTTTGCCAGCCATTGGCTGCTGTGAAGCTTCTGTTCTCAGGGTGGCAAATACCGGCGGACCCAATGGCAAAGGTAATGATTTACTGGCATTCACTGATACAATGGGTGAACTTGTCACCGAATCAATCCGTGAGCGGGCAAACTCCTTTATATTTACCGCCTTGGCAGAGGCGAATATGGGCGGGCGTACAAAATCATAGCGTTCTGGATAAAAATTGGCAGTGGTGGAGAAAATGGATCGATCATAGGGTGCATCATCGGTGGCGAAAACAATTTGACCCGGTGACTGGGCAGTGGTTGTGGTAAAAACTAATTTGTCGGTGTTGTTGCTCTGAGTTTCGCCACTGCTCGTTGCGGGGGCGAATTTAAGGGTTTGCTGGGGTGCGCTGTGGCACAAAGTTACGAGGAGGGTAACGGTAAAAACTGAAAGGAGGAAAGAAAAGAAATTATTGTCGCCGCAATGGAGGAAAAGAGAGAGAGAGAGATCCCCAAGAAGTATTTTCTGTAGAGTAGGTGATTTCGAGCGAAATCTTCCGTAGATGACTTCGAGCGGAATCTACTCTAATGTAGATGAACTAGGGAGTCAACTACACTTTTGTAGATGAATTCGGGCGACATATATTCTAGATCTGGTGTCTCAGGACGACATCTATTCCACAGTAGGTGTCTCAGAACTACATCTACTCCACAGTAGGTGTCTCAGGACGACATCTACTCTACAGTAGACGTCTACGAACGACATCTTCTCCCCAGTAGACGTTTACGAACGACATCTACTCCCCCGTAGACGTCTACGAATGACATCTACTCTACAATAGATGTCTACGAGCGACATGCACTAGAATTCTACAGGCGACATTTGCTCTACAGTAGAAGTCTACAAGCGATATTACTCTACAGTAGAGGTCTCTGAGTGACATCTACTCTACAGTAGAGGTCTCCGAGTGACATCTACTCTACAGTAGATGTCTCCGAGTGACATCTACTCTACAGTAGATGTCTACGGACGACATCTACTCTACAGTAGAGGTCTCCGGGTGACATCTACTCCACAGTAGACGTCTACTCACGACATCTAATCTGCAGTAGACGTCTACGAGCGGCATATACTCTACAGTAGACGTCTACGAACGACATCTGTTCTACAGTAGATGTCTACGAACGACGCCTACTCCACAGTAGACGTCTACGAACGACGCCTACTCCACAGTAGACGTCTACCAACGACTTCTACTCTGCAGTAGACGTCTATGAACGACATATACTCTACAGTAGACGTCTACGAACGACTTCTACTCTACAGTAGACATCTACTCCACAGTAGAGGTCTCCAAGAGACATCTACTCTACACTAGAGGTCTCCGGGTGACATCTACTCTGTAGTAGAGGTATCCAAGCAACATCTACTCTACAGAAGAGATCTCCAAGCAACATCTAATCTACAGTAGAGGTCTCCGGGCGAAATCGGGCCTCCTAGCGATATCTTATCTACAGTTGATGTCCCCGAGCGACATCTACTCTATAGTAGATGTCTGCGAGTGATGTTTACTCTACAATATAAGCCTCCGATCGACATCTTCTCAACCGTACTCTACTGTAGATGATTCCTGATACACCTGAGTCATCTACTCTACCGTGGATGACTCCTGATGTCATCTACTCTACCGTAGGTGATACCTGATGTCATCTACTTGACTTTAGATGTCTTCCGATGTCATATACTCTACCGTAGATGACTCCGGATGTCATCTTCCCTGCAGTTGCTGACTCACAATATGATCTACTATGCCATAGATGACATTTGATGTAATCTACCCTATCGTAGATAATTCATGATTTCATCTAATTTGATAAGGTCGCTATCTACTCTACCCCTATTTTATTGTTGATGACCCTTTGCGCCATCTATTGAGAAGTGGTTGACCCCTAATATCATCGCTCCAGGTGAATAGCTGTGTCTTGTTATTTTCTATTCTTCACAGCTTATTGTCAATTACATGAATCACAATTAGTTGCATCTACAGGTGACTAATTTATCATTTTCATTGATGAAAATTTCTGCGGAACCACCTCTTTCCTCTCCCTCTCTACACATATGCCATGTGAAACTTATAAATTAACAATTTGTCTTTACGTCGATTATAATTACATATTTGAAATAAACAAGTAAATAATTAATTAAAGCCTCTCTTACCCCTTGCCAAGAGCCACATTCTGAAAACACTGTTACTTTGCTGCTCTCCGTTTCGCGGCGGTTTAGCGAAGATTTGTTGTGTTGTGTGGCAAACGGATGATGTTCGTTCTTAGCTTTTGAATTTGAAAGCGGTTTTTTTTTCGGGGTTTACTTCTACAAAATCTTGTTTTTTCGCTTTTTTTGTTTCTTTAAATGATAATTAAACGGCTTAGTTCTAGCTCACACAACAATAACAACAACAACGACAGTAGAAAATATAATAAGTTTAAAATTTTGAAATTTATGGGTTTAATTTTTTTTATTTATTTATTTGTTTTTTTTTTGCACGGATTGGAAGTTTTCTTCACTAGTTTTTTTTTTTTTTGCAGTGAATTTGAAATTTTAATTTTTGTTTTTTTTTTTTTTTTTTTTTGATATTTCAACTCCAATATTTTATAATTTTTTTTTATGAACGCCACCACTCAACCGTTGAAACGAAATGCTGCCAATAGACTAAAATACCAGCAGCATTCTACACCTGTTAAGATTCTCGCTGGGAATAACTTTTTTTTCAGAATCCAAACTCAATAAAACAATAACAACAATCGCTGATTTCAAAACTGGAAGCCAATCCCCTGCAATTATTGATCAAATTCGTTTGATAAACTCTCTCTTATATCAATCTAAATGTTTGTTTATTTTAATAATTTTTTGCAAAAACATCTCTTCTCAAAAGAAAGAACGAGGCAAGAAGAAGAAGAAGAAGAAGGCGAAGATAGAACAACAAACCGGCTTCTAACGTCAGAACTTTTTTATTTTTTTTTGTGGGATGAGTAACTTCTAAGACGTGTAAAGATTGATAAGTCCAAAAATTGTCAAATCGTGTTGTTGTCGTTGTTATTATTGACAGAATCAGAACCGTTCTCTCACTGGGGAATTTCATAAATGTTATTGTATTTTTTTTTAAATTCATTTGAACCAATTAATTATCGCCGAAAAAATGACGTCTCATTTGTAGACTCTGTGGTTAAATTGTGAGAATGGCCCAGCAAAAATGAATTATTTACAGAGAAATATTAATGATTGTGGGGAAATCGACACTGGCCTGCAAAGAATATGCTCCCCAAGTAAATTTTGCAATTTTTAAATGAGGTTTTTGAAGGATCCCAAGGCATACCTCAACCTTATTGTCAACATCATCATTAGCTACGGGGAAGGTGGAAAACAATTAATTCTGGCGTTGGGAGCCATCTACTCCATCTCAGATAACGTTGGATGTCATCTACTCTATTGCAGATGACCTTGGTCGCCATATATTATATCGCAGATGACGTCGCAGATGATATTGATCGCCATCTTCTCCATCGCAGATATGGTTGGATGTGATCTTCTCAATCGCAGATGAGATTGGGCGCCATCTACTCTATCGCCGTTGAGCGCCATCAACTCAATCACAGATGAAGTTGGGCGCTACCTACTCCATCTCAGATGACGTTGGGCGCCATCAACTCTATAGCATATGATGTTAATGGCCATCTACCCCATAGCAGAGAACGTTGGATGTCATCTACTCTATTCCAGATGATGTAGATCGCCATCTACTCCATCGCAGATGACATTGGGCGATATCTACTCCATCACATATACTCTATCGCCGTTGAGAGCCATCTAATCTATCGCAGATGACGTTGGGCGCAATCTACTCTACAGGGTGAGATAAAAAAACTGCAACAAAGTCAAATGCCATAATTCTTAAATTTTTTTCGGAAATAGCATCAAGTTTTAGAATTCAAACGGCCTTCAAACGGCCAATTAAACCGTCACACGCTGCTCGAATGTTGCTCTGCAGTATTTTGGCCCATTTCCGACCAAGCGCTTGCTTTAGGTGATCGACACTTGGGTATTTTTTAGTGCCAACCTTGCTTTCCAAAATACTCCAGACACAATAGTCCAACGGATTGGTGGCCATTGTGCGCTGGAAATGAAGCGAGGAACCTCATTTTGTAATCATTCTTGGGTGGTGCGTGCTGAGTCCTGGTCTGCAGCCAAAATGTTTGCGCGTCCAAGGCTTTAATACACCCTCCAGAATATTTTCGCGATAATATTCGGCATTTATTCTGATGCCACTGTCGATTAATACGAGCGGAGAGCGACCATCGGCTGTTATGGCGGCCCACACCATCACCATGGCCGGCGCTTGAGTTCTGTTGGCCAGCCGAAGGTGCACATTTTCCACTGATCTCTTTGGCAAGTAAACACGATCATTTTGTTTGTTTACAAACGGCTGGAGAACGAATGTTTTCTCATCGAAGAAAACCGACAACAAATCCGACAGTTCTTTATCTCTTTTGAGTCACTTTTCTTGCTGTTCTGGTGTAAGTTCTTGCACTTTTTGGAAAGTGGCTTTACCCCGATATCTTTCAACATTTGCCGAATGGAGTATTGCGATATGTTCAGCACACGAGCCATTTTTCGGCCACTGCGACGCGGGTTTCGATCAAGCCGCTTCTTTACTTTTCGAACCATTTCTGCTGATGTTGCTGTTTTTTTTTCGTCCACTTCCATGACGTCGGGCTACGCTACCAGTATCACGGTAACGAGCGATGGTACGAGACACAAAAGATTTATTCACATTTAAAAGCTGCAGTGCTCTAAAGATAGCCACTTGTGGTTTTCCAGCCAAATATAAAGAAATCACACTACCACTCTCGAATTCGGAGAACTTTTTTTCTTGAAAATTCTCAAAAAATGGTTTCATACGCTTGTAAGCAATATAATGAGCTGTCACTGGAATAATTTTAACAGGACAATTAGGCTTTGAAATTTTAGATATTTTAAAGGACCACTAAGCCCAATTAGTCTTCAAATTTTCGATACATTCAAAGACTTTTTAAGGACCTTCAAAAGTGAATCTATATAAGGATTTGTCAAAGCCTTCAAGCCCAAGTCCTTAGATTTTTTTCAAATTTTTTTCAAGGGTCACTTGACTATTAAACGTGTGTCATTTCAATTTTTTTTTTGTTTTGAAAACCGCGATGCTTTCGAAATAGGATTTATATCCGGTTTTTTTTCAAGGACCCCTAGACCTTCAAAATTGGATGAACGCAACAATTTGTCAAGGACCACTAAGTCTAAGAACATAGGTCTTTCCCTTTAAGGATACAAGTGCTTCAAACTTCCAAGGGATTTTTAGGGACCTTCAAAAGTGGATAAAAAATGAAAGATTTGCCATGGACCACAACTAGGTCCATAAACATGGGTTTCACCAATGATGTTTTAAGGAGGCAAGGGCTTGGCTTAGATTTTTTCAAGGAATTAGAAGAAGACGTAGATAATTTCAAATATTTCGAAGACCACCAGGCCTTCAAAATTGCATATCTTTGAGGACCTCTTGATATTTAAAAGTAGCCTTTTTAAGGAGGTTTCAAGGACCCCCAGGCTTTAAGGACCACTAGGCTTTTTGAAACATTTTTTCAACTATTCCTTTAAAAAGGTTTATTTTGTTGTACAGTGTAATAAAATATAAAAACAACCACAATAACCACAAATAAGCAGAGATGCATTCATACTGGAGACATTTGATTGGGGAATACACATAATGAATCACATTTATTTACCAAAGTGTCGGACAAGTGTATTGCCTATGCATCGTGTGTTATATTTAGGAAATTCCAATTCCACAGATGCAAAATTTCAAAAAAAAAAAAAAACGAACCTGTCACAAATGTAAAAATCAAATATATCCAGCATTAATTCAAAACAGTTATTAGATTCGGAAAAATATTTTTTATGTAAAAAATTTTTGATTTTTGGTGGGAAGGTAATGATTTTCCAGCAAGAGCTAAGAGAGAAAAGGATCAAGGATTCGGATCTAAACTCAAGTTCTTCATAAAATAAAATTTTTTTATTGTTTAATTGTTAAGATAAGGGTGAGATGAAAAAACCCAATTCAGACTGCTGTCATTTCTAAGCCAATCGTCCGACAGTTGTTAAAATTATTCCAGTGACAGCTCATTATATTGTTTACGAGTGTACAACAGCATTTTGGGAATTTTCTAGAAAAAATGTTATCCGTGATGGAATCCAAGCGTGATAGTGTGATTTCTTTATATTTGGCTGGAAAACCACAAGTGGCTATCGTTAGAGCACTCCAGCATTTAAAAGAGAATAAATCTCTTGTGTCTCGTACCATCGCTCGTTACCGTGATCCTGTTATTGGTAGCGTAGCCTGACGTCAAGGAAGTGGATGGAAGAAAACAGCAACATCAGCAGAAATGATTCGAAAAGTAAAGAAGCGACTTGATCGAAACCCGCGTCGCAGTGGCCGAAAAATGGCTTGTGAGCTGAACATATCGTAATATTCCATTCGGCAAATATTGAAAAATGAGGTCGGGATAAAGCCATTGAAATTCCAAAAAGTGCAAGAACTTACACCTAAAAGGAAAGAAAATAGACTCAAAAGAGTTAAGAGTTGCTTGGCTTTGCCGAAAGTGGTGAGCTGCCGAATTTGGTTTGGTGGTCTCCGATGAGAAAACATTCGTTGTCCAAACGTTTGTAAACAAAAAAAATTATCCGCTCGTGTTTGCTTGCCAAAGAGGTCAGCTGAAAATGTACACCTTCGGTTGGCCACCAGAACTCAAGCGCCGGCCATGGTGATGGTGTGGGCCGCCATAACAGCCTATGGTCGCTCTCCGATCGTATAAATCGACCGTGGCATCAGAATAAATGACGAATATTATCGCAAAAATATTCTGGAGGTTGTATTAAAGCCTTGGGCACGCAAACATATTGACCGCAGACCTTGGACATTCCAACAGGTCTCAGCACCATCGCACTCAGCACACGCTACCCAAGAATGGGTGGCTTCATTTCCAGCAGACAATGGCCACCCCAATTCTACGGATACCAATCCGTTGGACTATTGTGTCTGGAGTATTTTGGAAAGAAAATATTCTGGAGGGTCTTTTAAAGCCTTGGGCTCCCAAACGTTTTGGCCGCAGACCTTGGACATTCCAACAGGACTCAGCACCTTCGCACTCAGCACGCGCCACCCATGAATTGTAACAAAATGAGATTCCTCGCTTCACAATGGCCATCAAAATCTCCGGATACCAATCCGTTGGACTATTGTGTCTGGAGTATTTTGGAAAGAAAATATTCTGGAGGGTGTTTTAAAGCCTTGGGCACACAAACATTTTGGTCGCAAACCTTGGACATTCCAACAGGATTCAGCACAATCGCACTCAGCACTCGCCACCCAAGAATGGTTACAAAATAAGGTTCCCCGCTTCATTTCCAACGGACAATGGCCACCCCAATTCTACGGATACCAATCCGTTCGACTTATGTGTCTGAAGTATTTTGGAAGGAAAATATTCTGGAGGGTGTATTAAAGCCTTGTGCAAGCAAACATTTTGGCCGCAGACCTTGGACATTCCAACGGGACTCAGCACCACCATCGCACTCAGCACGCGCCACCCATGAATGGTTACAAAATGAGGTTCCTCGGTTCATTTCCAACGGACAATGGCCACCCCAATTCTACGGATACCAAACCGTTGGACTATTTTGTCTGGAGTATTTTGTAAAGCACTGTTGGCACCAAAAAATACCAAAGTGTCGATCAGCTCAAACAAGCGCTTCGCAGGGAATTGACCAAAATACCGTAGAACAACATTCGGGCAGCGTGAGACGCCTTCATTGGCCGTTTGAAGGCCATAATTCGTGCCAAAGGTGACCAATTCGAACAAATCTAAACTTATTTTAAAATTTTATGCTATTTCCGATATTTTTTGCCTTTGACTTTGCTGCAGTTTTTTTATCTCACCCTGTATAAATTAGTGTTGAATTATTGAGATATGTAGACCCTGAATTCCTTTCTTTTTTATAATTCACAGACCCTATTTTATTTATAGAACATTTAACACTAAACCAGAACGTAATGTTGCTATCTTGTTTTCAATATCAAAATGTTCGAAAACAATTCAGGGGACAGAAAAGCAAAAATAAATGTTATATGCGATACTTAAAATCATTTGATAACGAAATTGCAGCCACTTATGGCCGGGGTTCTCACAAAACTATTATCTTTACTTATTTGCAAGCTGCCACTTTCTCTCTCTCTCTCTCTCTCTCCCACTTTCTCTCTCTACCCCAACAAAAATTACTAAAATCTCACACCGCATTCCTCTCATTTCAACAATGATAATGACCATTGTTGAGCTTTCTTGACGAGATAACGGCAGCCAGTCCCCAAGAGGGCTATGCCAATTTCCATCTCAGTTCACATCGCAATGTACACCACTCAGCCACGCACTTCGGCAAATATCGCCAAACGACAAAATCAACGGATCGTGTTCGATGTCATTGCCAGCACTGAGCATTTGCCCAATTTCCATGGGAAATCTTCCAACCGCAGCTGTTCCCTACCCTTGGAAGATGAAACGTATCTGGAGAAAATGTTAGAATTCGAAGTGAAGCAAGACGATGTCTACGTTGTGACATTTCCAAAATGTGGCACAACATGGATACAGGAAGCCACCTGGTTGTTGGTGAACAATTTGGATTATGAGGCTGCCAAAAAGCAGCAATTGATGCGCCGAAGTCCATATATGGAGTAGGTGATTTTTTGAAAGCTTTTGTTGTTAATTTTTATGAAAATGCTTCCTTCACTTCAGATTAAAAGGCTTCTATGGTGGAATCCCATTTGACACCTTAGAGGCAGCCAAGCATACACCCTCGCCCAGGGTACTCAAGTCACATTTGCCCGCATACCTAGTGCCCAAAGAGATATGGAGTAAAAAAGCCAAGGTATGTAAGAGGAGCCTTAAAATTTTGGATGTAATGACGTTCAAGTCAATTTTCAGGGAGAAAGGTTTTTAAAAATTTTTAATAGATACGAAGTGTTAGCTTTCAGCGAGTAAGGGTTATACCCTACACCATACTATGGAGGATATATTAATTTTGTCACTCCGTTTGTAACTCCTCGAAATAATCATGTCAGACCCAACAAAGTATATATATTCTTGATCAGCGTAAAATTCTAAGACGATTTAGCCATGCCCGTCTGTCTGCCTGTGTGTCTGTCTGTCTGTCTGTCTGTCTCTCTGTCTATTGTAATCACGCTATCTTCCGAACGAATTGAGATAGAAGGTTAAAATTTTGCACACATGTTTATTTTGTCAGTAGGCAGGTTAAGTTCGTAAATGGGTCATGTAGGTTCACGTTTTCATATAGCCTCCATATAACTGTACCTCCGGATTTTCGGTATTTTGATGATTTTAGCGACATTATTCACCGGAATTGTTTCAAATTTGGTACTTGAAGATCGAAATGGATACTACAGCCTAAGACAGAAAATTGTCTATACAAGTCCACGTCTTTGTATAGCCCCCATATACCGGTACCTCCCAATATTCGGTATTTCGATTATTTTAGCGTCATTATTCACCAGAATTGTTTCAAATTTGGTACTTGAAGTTCGAAATGGATACTACAGCCTAAGACAGAAAATTGTCTATGCAGGTCCAGGCCTTCGTATAGGCCCCATATATCCGAACCACCCTATATTCGGCATTTTGACGATTTTAGGTACAATACCCACCGAAATTGTTTGAGATGTCGTATTTGAGGTTCGTAATGGATACTACAGCCTGTGACAGAAAATTGTCTATTCTGGTCCAGGTCTTCGCACAGCTTCGATATAACGGTACCTCCCCATATATATGACATTTTGATGATTTTAGCTACATTATTCCCAGTTTATTTCAAGTTTCGAATTTGAATATGGCAATGGCTAATGACAAACAATGCCTACGTAGGTCAACATCGTATAGACTCCAACATAACGGCTATTTCTGTATTTTTAAAATTTGAACAGAATTTTTTAAGAATTTTTTTTTTTGAAAATCTCCAAATCCGTTCCAAATGGTGGAAGGTATTCAAAGTTCGGCAGGCCGAACTTACTGCTTTTTAACTTGTTTTTACATTTTATTGTATGAAATTAAAAATGTCGGAAATAGCATCAAATTTCAGAATAAGTTTAGATTGGTTCGAATTGATCAACTATGGCAAGAATCATGGCCTTCAAACGGCAAATGAAACCGTCACACGCTGCCCGAATGTTGCTCTGCGGTATTTTGACCCATTCCCGGAGAAGCGCTTGCTTGAGGTGATCGACACTTTGGTATTTTTTTAGTGCCAACCTTCCTTTCCAAAAAACTCCAGACACAATAGTCCAACGGATTGGTATCCGGAGATTTTGGTGGCCATTGTGAGCTGGAAATGAAGCGAGGAACCTCATTTTGTAGCCATTCTTGGGTGGTGCGTGCTGAGTCCTGTTGGAATGTCCAAGGTCTGCGACCAAGGCTTTAATACACCCTCCAGAATATTTTCGAGATAATATTCGGCATTAAATCTGATGCCACGCTCGATTAATACGAGCGGAGAGCGACCATCGGCTGTTATGGCGGCCCACACCATCACCATGGCCGGCGCTTGAGTTCTGGTGGCCAACCGAAGGTGCACATTTTTAGTCGACCTCTTTGGCAAGTAAACATGATCTTTTTTTTTTTTTTGTTTACGAACTGCTGGACAACGAATGTTTTCTCATCAGAGAAAACAAAATTCGGCAGTTCACCTTTCACTTTCGGCCAAGCGATGCAACTCTTTAGCTCTTTTGAGTCTATTTTCTTTCGGCGGTGTTTGGTAAGTTCTTGCACTTTTTGGAATTTCCATGGCTTTAACCCGAGCTCATTTTTCAATATTTGCCGAATGGAATATTGCGATATGTTGAGCTCACGAGCCATTTTTCGGCCACTGCGGTGCGAGTTTCGATCAAGTCGTTTCTTTACCTTTCGAACCATTTCTGCTGATTTTGCTGTTTCCTTCCGTCCACTTCCTTGACGTCGGGCTACGCTACCAGTATCACGGTAAAGAGCGATGGTACGAGGCACAAAAGATTTATTAACATTCAAATGCTGGAATGCTCTAAAGATAGCCACTTGTGGTTCTCCAGCGGAATATAAAGAAATCACATTATCCCGCGTGAATTCCATCACGCATAAGTTTTTTTTCTGGAAAATTCTCACCAAACTGCTTTTGTACGCTTGTTAACAATATAATGAGCTGGCACTGGAAAAATTTTAACAGCTGTCGGACGAGTGGCTTTAAAATAACAACAGTCTAAATTTTTTTTACAGTTTTTTTCATCTCACCCTGTATAGTCATCATCTTCTCTATTCCTTATTTTCAGGTTGTCTACTGTGCCCGCAATCCCAAGGATATGGCGGTGTCCTTCTATCACTTTCACAGTGGCCTTGGCACCTGGGAGGGTAGCATCGATGAATTTGTGGAAGATCTAATTAACAATGACATCATGTATTCGCCATATTTCGATCACATTTGGGATTTCTGGCAGCTGAGGAATGAGGCGAATGTTTTCTTTACCACCTATGAGGCAATGAAAAGAGATCTCCAAAAGGTCATTGTTGATTTAAATAAATTCCTGGGAAGACAAGAGCTCAGCGGAGAGGAGCTGAACACACTGTTGAACCACTTGTCCTTTAAGAGTATGAAGGGTAAGTTGGGAGATTTTAAATACTTGGCGGTATTATAAATTTATTTTTTCCTTTGTTTTCCTTTAGAAAACAGTTCGGCCAACCCCACCGAGCTTATTGTCACCAGCCATGCCAGTAAAAAAGTGAAACCTGGATTTGAGTAAGTGTTGAGGAATCTTCTCAAAAAAAGAGTCCTTGTATATTGAATTTATGTTTTTATTTTCAGATTCATGCGCCGTGGCATTGTGGGTTCCTACAAGGATGAGTTGTCTGTGGAGACCCAAGAGAAGCTGGATAAATGGATAGCTGAAAATTTGCGAAAATATAATTTTACTTTAGAGGAAATATTTGGAAAAATCTAGAATAGAATTAAGAGTGCAGTGGGTACTCCATGGACCATAAGTGAACAGATTGTTTTGAATTTTATTTGGATGACCTCTTGGGAATCTTACAGTCATGAGAGACACCTTTGGAAGTTTTAAATTCTCAGTTTCCTTTATGGTTGTCTATTCTGGGTTGCTGATCTCATAAGGGATTGATGATGGATTCATATATGAACAGGGGATGTTATTTTGGCCATGGAAAGCCTTAAAGACATTCAGATATTAAAAATCTATCTACGGACGTCCTATTCTAGGACCTCATAATGGCTTTACTTACTCCAAGGAAAATACTTCTCAACACATTTTTCCATAGAAGAGGACTTGAAACACTTTTATCTGAGAAAAAATGCAGATTGCAGATTTTCTCTGGAAGTCCTTCAGAGAATTTTAAAAAAGTCTGAAGCAGAACTTTATTTTTTTTTTTGGCTATTCAAACTTGAAGTCTTCTCCTTATGAAAAGCTTCAAGAAGATTTTCTCCACATGAATGCCTCTTTTGGAAGTTGTCTATCCATAGAATACCTCTCAAGTGTCCTTTACTTAAATTAGGCATCTTAAAGGCATTTTCTCTATAAAAAAACCTTTTTCCGGTACGTTTTGTACGTTTCCCGGTCGAGACCCTTCTTTCCATCACCCATAGTAGGAATTTACATAGTTCTTCGAAAAATTATCCATGCACAGAAGACCTCTGGAAAACCTTTTAATTGCATCTGTGCAAATTTATTGCAAATCCTTCCGATGAACCCATCTGCAAAGGATTTTGTTATAATATCTTTCTCATTTTGAGGGCCAATTTTACAATTTTTATTTAATGAAGCCATAATAAAATTTTCTTCTATTCGAAGCCCATTCATAAGCGTTTCTATACACGAGAGCCCTCTGGAGGACCTTTTATTTATAAATGACTGCTTATAGGTCTCATATCCACAGGCAGGATTTTAAGGGCTAGATATCAATAAATGACATCTTATAGGATCTCCACACTTATATGATCCCTTACAGGGTTTCTTCCTCTAAAGGACCTTCTCAGGGTCTTTTATGCTTACATGACCTATTGTCTGCCCGCAGATCGTCTGAAGGACCTCTATAACTGCCATCATTAGACCACAACTAACAAAAAAAGCAGCAATTTCAAAACGAGATCCTGCGTATGTCCTTAACCGCCATAAACCTCTAGATTTTCAGGCCATGAATGCTCGTATGACAACATTATCCTATGGAGAGTTACCAACCTAAATTCCTAATTCGGGGGTCCAAGGGTGCTTATTTGGGTCTTAAGTCAAGTCAGGTATCTCTGACTAAACATTTGTTAAGGATTCCTGTAGGGCTAGCCTTGAATGTCCTGTAGTGGTATCCTTGCTTGACTACGCATTAATGTCCTGGCACTCATTAATGTCATTGTTGATATGTGGCAGTAATATCTTGACATATCCTTGTAGATCCTTGTTTGAGTTCTTCTTAACGTCTATTGGAGAAGTAGGCTTCAGGATCCTGGCATATCCTTGCTTAAGTACGGGTTATGGTTTAAGTTTTTGGCTGAAGTAGCCATGAATATCCTTGTGGATGCTTGCCAAAAATACTTATTGCTCTCTCTCTCTATCTTAATTGTACCTTTGCAAATCCTTTAAGATCCTTGCTAGAGGCCTTGTAAAGGTCTCTTGTAGTAGTGGCCTTGACAATACTCGCATGAGTACTTATTAAAATCTATTTTCTTGCATCCTTCCATATCAGTGTAGATCCTTGCTTAAGTATCTTGCTGCCCCATTCTTCTACATCCTGGCTTGAGTACTTATTAAAGCTTCCTGTAGGAGTATTCATGAATATAATTGTATACCCCACTATGGAGTACCCAAAAAAAGTTTTCGGCAAAGCCATCCTTGCGCACCCTCATAGTTCCTTACTAGAGCTCTTATTAAGGTATTGAGCCTTGAGCATCTTAATAAGGACCTATTGGCGGAAATCTTGATAAATATTGAAGCGAGGATCTTCAAAGTCTCTTCTGGAAGTATTCTCCTTACATATCCCTGTTGATTGTTTGGACAAGAAATAAGTTCTCATGGCAAAAATCCCTTGCTTGAGATCTTAATAGGGTCCGAAGTAGCCTTGGTTATCCTTGTGAGTCCTTACCAAAAGTACTCGTTAATGTCTCCCATAATAGTACCCTGACATATACGTTAAAGTCCTTGTTAAATAATGGGCTTGCTTAGTCTATTTCACTGCATCCTTGAATATGCTTGTAAATCCTGGTTTGAGTACTTATTTAAGTTTCCTGTAGTAACATTCATGAATATCCTTGCTTGAGTATTTAACAAGGTCTCGGCAGAGACATCCTTGCGTATCCGTATAGATTCTTGCCAGAATCCTTATTAAGGTCTTGAGCCTTGAGCAATTAAAAAAAGGATCTCTTGTGGAAAAATAATTACTGAAGAAAGGATCTTCAAACTCTCTTCTGGTAATATTATCCTTACATATCCTTGCAGATTCTTGATTGGATACATACAAAGCCCTCAAAAACCTTATTTGAGTTCTTACTATGGTTTTTTGAAGGAGTGAACCTGCTTTCTCATCCTTCCAGATCCTTAATTAAGAACTTATTAAACTATCCTGCCGGAGTATTCGTGAATATTCTTGTTTACCCCCATTGCTTGAGTACCCAATAAGGCCAAAGGCATCCCTTCGTATCCGTATAGATCCTTGCTAGAGTTTTTATTAAGATCTTGAGCCTTGAAAACTTATACAGGTCCTTTATATTTATAACTGAGTAACTGCAGAAGCAAGGATCTTCAAAGTCTCTTCTGGTAGTATTATCCTTGGTCTCATGCAGAAATGTTCCTTTTCTGAGTACTTTACTAAGTCAGCTGTACTAATATCCTTGCATATCCTTTTTGAATCCGTTATAAAACACTTTTTTGATTTCCCTGGCAGTAGTATCCTCTTCTTTCCTTGTAGGTCCTAAATTGGACACGTACGAAGCTCTCATACAGACTTTCCTCTGGCTTGAGTCCTTAATAAGGTTACATATCCTTTTGAAACCGTGATAAATCCCTTTTAAAGGCTCCTGTCGAAAGTAGTATCCTTTCCCTGTATATCCTTGTTTGAATAGCACTTAAAGTCTTTTGCAGAAGTGTATTTGTAAATTCTCATAAGGCCTCCATAGAGTTCTTGCCGTCATATTTGCTAGTAGTATCCTTGTATATCCTTTTGGTTCCTTATTTGGATACTTGATCAGTATCTTCTTGTAGTGCCACAGGTTATAAATAGATTTATTCTATCTCTTCACCTCTCCCATACTCTTTCTCTCTCTCTCATCACTAGATTTTCTGCTAGGATCCTTTGGAGCAGCTCTAAGGCTACTTCATCACTCTCCACAAAAAAAATCGTATCTATCTTCTGTTCCCCATTTCACTAAAAGTCTTTTGCAGCAGCATATTTGTGAATCCTCATAGGGTCTCGATAGATAACGTATTTAGGTATTTTGTAATAGTATCCTTGCATATCCTTGTAGATCCTTACATGGAAACTTGATTAGTTTTTTTTTAAGTGCCGCAGGTTATCAATAGATTCATTTTCTTCTTCTTCTCTCTCTCTTTTCCTCCCTCTTGCTCTCTTACTCTCTCTCACTTTCTCCCTCTTTCTTTTTCTCCCTCTCTCTCATGAGAAAATTTTGTTTTACGATGCTTTGGACTCACTCTAAAGCAACTCCACCACTATCCATGAAAATTAACATCCAAAAAAAAAATCCTATCCCTCCTCCTTTGGAGCAGCTCTAAGGCTACTCCACTACTCTCCATAAACTTAATATCCACAAAAAATCGTATATATCTTCTGTTCCTAGCCTTGTAGATCCTTACATGGATACTTGATTAGTTTTTTTTTTTTTTTTTGTAGAGCCGCAGGTTATCAATAGATTCATTCTATATGTCCTAATATTTTTTTTCTCTCTTTCTCCCTCTTACTCTCTCCCTTTCTCACTCTTACTTTTTCTCTCTCTTTTTTCCTTTTACTTTTTCTCTCTCTCTCATAACTAAATTTTATTTTACGATCCTTTGGACCCACTCTTAAGCTACTCCAGCACTCTCCATGAACTTAACATCCAAAAAAAAGCTTTTTCTCCTTCTTTCGATGTTTCGTTCTTTTCCAAGGATTCCGTCCACCATATTATACCTTACATACTAACATTTTAGGAAATCAATACCTAACGACTCTGACTTAAATCCTAATAAATGAAACAATTTAGTTCCGCTTCAAATCCGCTTCCATGCTTGTTAGCCCAAAGGAAGCAGAGGAGAGAGAAAAGAAAACGAACCAAAACACAAAAAAACTCATTTCCTTATACAAACGTGAAACAAGAACAACAACAACAACAACAACAAAGAAGGAAGAAGTGAAAAATAAAAGATGCTGCTCCAAATCAAGCTTGTTGAGATTTTTTGAACTTTTAATTAACAATTTCTTTTATCTTTGCGAACATTATCAAGCGAGAAGATATCCAACGGATGGATGGATGGATGGCTGGATGGATTCAAGGCAAAGAGAACATCATCAACATCCATGGCATGGCATGGCATCATCTTCATCATCATTGCCATTGGGCACAATCCATTTGCAGCGTCATCATCATCAGCAACAGCAGCCTCAGCATCAACCACACGTGTCCTCGCTATGTGTGATGATGGTCGAACACTCACTCACTCACGAGGGTTGTTGCATTTCGAGCAGGCTTCCTCCATACCTTCATTCATTCTCCCCATGCTTTGTTATTTAACAACACGTTTGATTTTCGTTCGACACGTATGAGCGTCAAAAATGAAACAAGAACACTTCCTGTGCGACCTCCAAGGGGAGGGGAAACTATATTTCTCTTACGTTTTTTTTCTTCCATACTTCTTAGCATGAAAAATTCTTCTCAAAAAAGAGAGGAAGACGAAAAGGAAGACCCCAAGAAATTGCCAAGAATATTTGTAAGGCGTATGTATCGATGAATATTGGAAACACAACGAAAAGTGCATGTAATGAGCCGG